GACCCTATTTCTCCATACCTGTTCTAGAGGTCTCCGTCAAGGGGACCTATTTCTCCATACCTTTTTTTACTTTGTGCCGGTGGAATGAAGGTTTATCTCTTTATTTCGAGATGCGGGAGCGGCGGTTGATTCAGTGGATGTTAGGGTTGGCTAGAAGGTTGTCCTCGAGTATCAACATTTATTGTTTTGCGTGGATGAACTCTATATTTTTCTTTTGAAGCTATGGCTCATGAAAGCTACAATGGTGAAATCAATTCTCTGGACTATGAGGCGGGATTCGGGACAGGCGTAAATTTTCAAAAATTCTTGGTACTTTATTTAGTCCCTGTGTTTCGCCACACATACTGTAGATGACAATTTCTAATAGATCTTGGGTAGTGTAGATGACATTTCTAATATCTTGGGTGTGAGGGGTTCTATTGGGGATAGCTTTTATCTTGGTCTTCCTTCTCTTATAGGACGTGATAAAAAGCAAATATTCTCTTTTATTAAAGACAGGTTGTGGAAGAAATTGAATAGCTGGAATAATAGATTATTGTCTAGAGCCGGTAGAGAGGTTCTTATTAAATCTGTTGCTCAGGCTATACCAGCTTATTGTATGTCAGTTTTCTTGTTGCCCTCTACTTTGTGTCATGAGCTACAGGTTATTATGAATCGCTACTGGTGGAACGGGAAGAAAGAACAAGGCAGAGGTATTAACTGGCTTTCGTGGGAAAGGATGTCATTTTCTAAGCAGCTATGGGTTTTCGTGATCTTCGGCATTTTAATTTGGCTATGCTTGCTAAGCAGGGATGGCGGTTATTACAGGCGAAAGATACTCTTTTTTACAGAATCTTCAAAGCTAAATATTTCCCGAGAGGGGATCTTTTCAAAGCTCAAAAGGGTAATAATCCGAGCTTTGTGTGGTCGAGTATCTTTGCTTCTATCAATTTGCTTCAGCAAGGGGTGCGTTGGCGTGTTGGTGATGGTAGAGGTATTTATGCTGCTTCGGATCCTTGGATCCCTAAGACTGACTCTTTTCTTGCGGAGGATGGGACTCGATTCATTAGAGGATGGGACTCGATTCATTAATCCTATGATTAGAGTTTGTGATTTTTTTGTGGATGGTGAGAAAAGGTGGGATGTAGGCAAGTTGATGACTTCATTTTCTGCTAGAGATGTGAAGGCTATTTTGTCTATACCTTTATCTATTCATATGGTGGAGGATGTGGTTTTATGGGAGGATGTGTTTTATGGCATTATTGAGAAGCCGTGGGGTGGTATTACGGTTAAATCTGGATATCATGTTAGTATGGGCTCTTGCGTACGAGTAGCCAGAATGTGGGAATTCCACGGTTATGGACACGTATTTGCGAGCCTTAATGTCCCCTCCTTAAAATAAGGGATTTTTTTTGTGGCGGGGGGGATTTTTTGTGGCGGGCTTGTAGAGATGTCCTCCCTACAAAATCTAACCTTGTAAAACGTGGTATAGCAGTTAATGATCTTTGTTTTTTCTGTCCTTCAAGAGAAGATGGTGACCATGTGTTATGTCATTGTGTTCGGGCAAATGCTTGTTGGAGTTTGCTTGGTTTTAATATTCCCAGTGTGACTGCAACTTTTATTGATTTATTCATGCAGTGTTGGGATGGCCTTGGACAATAAAAAGCCGAACTATTGGCTTTTCTGGCTTGGCATTTATGGAAGGCAAGAAATACTTTTTGCTGGTCGGCAAAATTGGTGCAACCAACCCAGATTGCCTGTATGGTTTCTACCCATTGTATGGAATGGCATTCTTTTGATAATTTAAATGTAGCTATAGGACAAAGACTTTTCCATGGAAATGGGCCAAGTGTGAGGCCATGTGTCAACTTGAATAATGTTGGCTGGCATGCATTTTGTGATGCTTCACTATTTCAAAGAGAAGATGTAACAGGTGGTGCGACCATGTGTCAACTTGAATAATATTTCAAAGAGAAGATGTAACAGGTGGTGCGGCCATGTGTCAACTTGAATAATGTTGGTTGGCATGCATTTTGTGATGCTTCACTATTTCAAAGTCTGCTCTACTTTTTATTGGTAATCATTATCAGTCTAGTGGTTATATTTTTATTGATTGCCAGGTTTTATTTTGTGCTTTGAATTCTAAAACTTTAGATCTTTCGGAATTTGGGGTTATTGTGAAAGATTATAAGCAACTCGTAGTTGATAGGCCGGATATTTAGATTAGATGGATTCGGCGTACTATGAATGGTGCTGCTCATTCCCTTGCTAGAGCATCCATTCGCTTTTTACCACTTTGTATTTGGGAGAGTGTCCATGATGTTCTCCTTTCCCACTACATTTAATATTTTTAATAAAATAGTGGCCATTTCTCTTAAAAAAAAAAAAAATTTTGAATTTATATATTTAGTATACATAAATATCAATCTTGACTATTTCTTTCATTATCATGGTATAAAGGAAGGAAGCCAAACCCAACCCAACCTTCCCTAAAAACAACGTGCTGCTTCATACACCTGTCGAGCCATGGATAGGATTGCCCGCAGTCAATATGCCTCCAATACAGTTTTTTTCTTCTGACACACCAAATTATCTTAAATGGAAATTTTCTTGATGTTGAATTTTTGTTCCCCTCTCAGGAAAATTGGAGGCTAAAATTGAGACATTTTTTCCATGATTAAAGAAATATGTCAAATTTAATGTTACTATCAGTAACATTGTATAATATCTGCTCATTCCCTTGCTAGAGCATCCATTCGCTTTTTACCACTTTGTATTTGGGAGAGTGTCCATGATGTTCTCCTTTCCCACTACATTTAATAAAATAGTGGCCATTTTCTCTTAAAAAAAAAAAATTTTGAATTTATATATTTAGTATACATAAATATCAATTTGACTATTTCTTTCATTATCATGGTATAAAGGAAGAAGCCAACCCAACCCAACCTTCCCTAAAAACAACGTGCTGCTCATACACCTGTCGAGCATGGATAGGTGCCCGCAAGTCAATATTGCCTCCAATACAGTTTTTTCTTCTGACACACCAATTATCTTAAATGAAAATTTTCTTGATGTTGAATTTTTGTTCCCCTCTCAGGAAAATTGGAGGGCTAAATTGAGACATTTTTCCATGATTAAAGAAATATGTCAAATAATGTTACTATCATGTAACATTTGTATATATTATGTCATTATCTTTTAAAACCTTTACATACTTAATTCTCTTTTACTTAAAAAAAAATATATATATTTTTAACTTTATGAAACATCAATATTTTCAACATATTTTTTCACGTGTTTACATTTTCTATTCCGCGAATGCCGACTCGCCAAACATTAATCAACTTAATAAAATATAATTTATTAAATTTTTTTAATAGTCGTTTTCACTTATTGCATCAAACAACATTCTTAATATTGAAAAAGAATAAATGGTGATGAAGACATAATTATATTTACTTAAACCGAATTTATTGTCGTACCCATAGATTAAACCAGTAAAAACGTATGAAATGACATTTATTATTCCATTTGGTTTGATTACACAAAGGACAAATTGGTTCCTAGTAATGTGAAAATTAGGTTTGATATTTTTCATGTTGAATTCCCAGCACCATCATTCTGTTTGCCATGGAGGTATCAAAGCAATATGTTGACCTTAAGCTCAGGGTCTAATTCTTTCATAATCATAGACTCATAGTGTACATTTTTCTCATCTACCCACCACTAATTTTTCTTTTCCAAGGGCTTCCCACTTATTTTCAGATGCTAGAAGATACAAGTCGAATTGGTTCGATTCAAATTTATCTCATACCAATTCAATTCTATATGCGAAAAAGGTTTGCTTAATTTTCGAAATCAATTTGGATAAATAGAATTTGAGTGATTTTTATAGATTTAATTTGATTTGAATTAAATTAAATTCTCACCTCTACATATATATATATATATATATTAACAGAGAATGTTTGTATTCAAACTACAAAATATATTTATGTATTTAATAAAGAAATTGGAAGATATGAAATATAATTCATATATTTTTATTATTTATAATAACTGTAGTATTGAATTACTCTAAAAGCACTTAGAATAAGTTTCTTTTTCGAGCAATTTTAAAACTATATATTTACTTATATCAATTTGATAAATTCGAAAATATTACTTTTAATATTTTCGAAGTGTTACAATTATTATGAAAAATAAAAGCAATATCTTCCGTATCATACTTGCCAATCAAGAAATTAAATCATTGACGTACGGAGCTAGGGTCCAGCGGTGGCTCCCACCCCTTAACAATTTTTTTTAAAATATAAAATATTAAAATCTTTTTATTTTACTCATTAAAATATATATAATATTTTAAATTATTGAAAATATATTTTCAAAGATGAAGAGAAAAAAGAAAAAAAAAGTATTTACGATTTTCATTATATAAAAGTAAAAAAATTAATTATTTTATTAAAGAATAGATTAAATAAATCAATTGTAAAATTCAAAAAATTTATATCTTAAATTAGTTCAAAATTAATTTGAAATTACATTAATCAATCAAATAAAAATTAAAAGAGACTCTCAATGAAATTATTAAAACTTTGGATTTAACGTAATACAAATTAAATCCTTTTATTATAATCATAAAAGAATCAAGATATTTATTTACTATTGAAAAAACTTATTTTTTTATTTGAAATTCTGCTTCAAAAAAATTATTAAAACTGTTTGATAAGCTTAATAAACTTACTTATCAAATTTGTTTAATAAACTGGTTTATTTTGTCGATTTTTATAAATAATTATAGAAAGTAAAAATAAAAAATTATATTAAATCGAGTAAATCCGGTAACCGTGAACCAGTTTTTAACGGTTTGATGTCGGTCCGGTTTTTGAAGGATTGCAAAAACTGTTTGTTTCTACGACAACACCGTAGAATTGAAAGCTCAACAGGAAATTCCATTGTTTTTGACCCCACCATCGAAACCTCTCTATCTGGTAATTAACATTTCAAATTTTATATTTTTCTTCCCTTTCCTGGAGAAGAAAAAGAAAAGATATTAAAATTTTAAAATGGAAGGCACAAAAAAATACTCCGTCACTTCTCATCTTTCTCGTCAACCAAACACTCCCAAGATGACCTAGAACATAGCCAATACACGCCCGCGCAAAAATAACTATATCCTATATTCAGTGAAGAGCAGGAAAGGAAATAAAAGAGGAGCCATGGGTGCGTCGCTATCGAACCTGACGGAGGGAGCCAACGGCGCGGCCATGGGTCCGGGGCTTGGAGATATACCGGAAAGCTGCGTGGCATGCGTGTTTACCTACTTGACGCCGCCGGAGATTTGCAATTTGGCTCGATTGAACCGCGCGTTTCGAGGTGCTGCATCTTCTGATTCCGTTTGGGAGAAGAAGTTGCCGCCTAATTATCAAGATCTGCTCGATCTGTTTCCTCCTGAACGTTATCAGAACTTGTCGAAAAAGGACATATTTGCCCTCCTTTCCCGGCCTGTTCCCTTTGATGATGGCAATAAGGTCAGTTGCTTTCGTTATATGATAAGTCTGAGTTGTATGTGGTTTATTTTTATGGGTAGTATTAGGAAGATGGGGTTTTGGTTTTTTATTTTGATGTTTGTTTGTTTTGGGCAGGAGTTGTGGTTGGATAGAGTGACGGGAAGGGTATGTTTTTCGATATCGGCTAAGGGGATGGCGATAACGGGAATTGAGGACCGGAGATATTGGAATTGGGTTCCTACTGAAGAATCTAGGTTCGTTTTAACTAAATTATGACGTTGGCTTAATTAGGGAGTCGAATAATTTTAAGAATGGCTTCAGCGGTTTACCAGCTATGTTGTCAGGATTTAGCAAGCAATATAATGGCATCCATCGGTAGCTCATTGACTTTCTATTAAATGGTTATATTTATGATATACAGTGATCATTGGTTCTTTTGCTTAGTAGTGTGGTGCTAATTGAAATAGATTTATTGCTTGAATATGGTGGAAGATTACATTATTTATTTCATTTGATTAAAACTCGGTGTTGGTGTTAAATGAGATTTTTCAAAGTCTAGAGGAGACTTAATAGATCTTATGGTTTTGCATTGAGTTGCCGGAGCAAGTATGTCACTAGACAGTGATCAACTAGTGTGTGTTTGTTTTGTTTTTGTTGGGTTTGTCACAGTGAGTTCAAGGGTTAGTTGATTTTTCTTGTGCTTGAGCATTCTTATGTGGGAAGTGATAGTTGCTGGTGTTGAGGGCTTGCACCGATGTTTATAGTATTTAGTGGAATATAGTTCTCTTTTGTTTTTGGTCAATGACAATACCAATTTAAAAATGTATGTTATGGATATGTCTGCTTGATTATGGCATGTTAAAGTTGGGGAATCATCTATCTTTTAAACCACCCTAGAAATGATAACATCTTTAGTGTCATGAAAGACTAAAACACCTTCTTTATTCATACATTTAATAACTGTCTTGGCTTAACTTCGTTTATGGTAATTGTACTTATCGCGAATCTTAAAAAAACTTTGATTTGTATATCTAAGATCATTTAATTTTGAGTTTATTAGTTAATAGAGAAATCTTAACTTTCATTAGCTTTGCATTCAATTTTAGTTGTATTTTCTAATATGCTAATAGAGAAAAATTTTCTTATATAGTTTTACAATTAACAATGGGTTGTAGTGCTTTGCTAACTTGTTTCGCTTATAGAAATTACTTATTTTTTTACTTGTTCCTTTATTTTTTATTTTAATTTGCTTGACCTATCAGCAAAATTTAGGTTTGAGATAGGGTCAGTGATAACATTGCAACAAATTGGCTAGCATCCGTCAGCAATGGAAGCGGCTATGCACTCTTTTGGAGTCTGCTTGTGCTCCTTGTGGCCCATCTTGTATTCGTTCAATAATTTCTTTTGTTAATTCTCCATATTATGCATGTCAATTTTGTTTCATTTGCCTCACTGAGTGCCACAATGCTTTCTATCTTTTTTTCCTATTTTCCTTTTCGTTGGTTTCTCTTTCTTTGACTATCTTCTTTTTAATTCTAACTTTCTCTCTCTAAATGCTTTCTCTTCCGGTAGCTATCTTCTTTCTATCATTTTCATTACTTTAAAATGGAGACTAGAGGATAGGAAAAGATGATACTTTCCAAAATATCCATACACAGATCTTTGGTTTCTCCAACTAATATCTTTCCTTGTTTCCCCCTTTTCTGTCACACAATTTCTAATATTAACAAGAACTAAGTAAATAAATTGCAAATTGGCCATAAGAGGAATTTGCTGAAATCTAAGTATGTAATCAAAGTCTTGCTTCAGTACAGAAATTCTAGACTATGAACTGTAGATTTCAAAAACCCCTTATTTAATCTAACACCTAAAACTCAATAGTTGTTAGCTTACAATTGTTGTTTGCTTCAGTCGCCGATTCTTTACAACTTTCACCATTTCTTATAGACATTAATGCTCAAATGACTGAAATCAAACCCATATTTTCTGGTTTGAAAAGTCACTATTTCTCTCTCCAGATTGCTCTTTTTATTCTCTGTTATGGGTTTTCTTTTTGTAATTCATGTGCATTATTTCTTTATTTGACAGCGAAACCCCATATCAGAACAAGAAAATTTGTGAATATAGATAAAAAGTTAAATTTTCTGGTTTGATTTGGTTAAACTGTTTATAATTTTATTCGTTCAACGGGGGGAAAAAAGCAATTTTGTCCCCAGAAGGAAAGAAAATGAAGAGAGGGAAATATGGAGAGTTAACAATAAAAATTATTCTGTAAATGCAGGATTGGACCACAAGGAGTGCAAGCAGACTCCAAGGGAGTGCAAACAGCTGCTCCCATTGGCAATTGCAAAGTTTTGAAGTTGATGATAGAATTGCAAAAATGTTTTAAGTTTGTTTGTTTGTTTGTTTTTTTTTTTTTTTTTTTTTTTTTTTTTTTTTTTTTTTTTTTTTTTTATGGACCACAAGGAGTGCAAGCAGGACTCCAAGGGGAGTAGCAAACAGCTGGCTTCCCCTTAGGCAATTGCAAAGTTTTAAGTTGATGATAGATTGCAACAAATGTTTTAAGTTTGTTTGTTTGTTTGTTTTTTTTTTTTTTTTTTTTTTTTTTTTTTTTTTTTTTTTTTTTTTTATTATTATTATTATTTAGGCCTTGAAACAATAATAGTTGAATAGCCATAGATAAGATTGAGCTAATTGCTTTTCTTTACTTTATATAAATTTTGATTCTAATAGTAAAAAAGGGTTTAAGCAAAAGTTTTGCAAATAAAAGGTCAACTCAAGTTCTTTGTTGTTAGTGGACATGTACCATGCTGAATATGAAAGCAAAATAACCATTATCCAGCCAAGTATGTAACTTAGGTATAATAATTAGGTTCTTATCAAACATATATGTGTTTGCATGCGTATATCTCTCTCTCTCTCTCTCTCTCTCTCTCTCTCTCTCAAACATATATGTGTTTGCATGCGTATATCTCTCTCTCTCTCTCTCTCTCTCTCTCTCTCTCTCAAAAGAGAGAGAGAGAGAGAGAGAGAGAGAGAGAGGAGTTAGTTAGTTTTCATTCTTAGTTCTATCTTACGTGTTGGACTCTTTCTCAATTTTGTGCGACTTTGGTTTAGTTGTTTAGCATTAGCCACCAAATCAAGTTTGCAAAGCTTGTTCGATTGGTGACCTTGGTGATCTCGCGATTCTCCAGGCTCAGATGATGAGCTTTTGTTCTATTTTCTAATGATGAACAGATTGTATTGAGCCAGACTGGAACAGTTTTATATCCTGAACTCTAGCTGGATTAAATATTAAGAAGTGTTTGAATTTTATTGTGAACCTGCAAATTTTAGAAGGCTATCATTGTTTGCTTCGCTGGTGACACTTCATAATACTCAAAAGTTCAATTAAATAGAGATGGAAAAAAAAAAAAAAAAACTAGGATGGTTTATATTTTTGAAAGAGCGAGAAATGAATGGAGTGGTTCTGCTGTTGGTTGGTTACTGGGATGTTAATCATCGTCTACTATTTTATGTTTTGTCTATGATGCTGTGGGCTTCTTTAATAATTGTTTTATTTTATATATTTTATGGTTTTGATTCTGTTGCATATTCTTAGTCTGAAATTCTCATATACCAATAGTCCATTTAGTTCTTAACATTTCTGGCAACTGCTGTTTTTGAACATCCTTGGCATTTTTGTTTGACATTGCTAATATAGAAGTAACATGCTCGTAATATCATGTTTTTATTATGGTTTGGGTTTTCTCTTCCAGCTTGATTATTTTAGTTTTCATACCTTTTGTAGTGAACACTATCTCTTCTGATTTGTGGTTTAATTTTGCTCATGCTGCTGGGTTTCTTTGTAATCGTAGCATCTCTCGCATAAAGAAATCTCTGTCCCATGTGAACTCTTGGCTTTGAGGGCTTTTTCATTTTTGGTTTTTGTGATTAGCTGATGTGCTTTTTGTAATGTTGATTTCAGAAATGATAACCACCCCCAAACAATAATAATGATATAATAAGAAAAACTCCTACCAAATTTGGTTAGCTGGTGGAAATGGAGAGTAAATACATCATTACCAAAACAAACTTCAAATTGAGCAGAATCTCTCTGGGAATTTTGATAGGCAAATCTGATTTTTCTTATGGGAGTTCTACATTATTTATGTTAGCATAAATTTCATTTTCTTTGGCATCTGCAAATCTGACTACCAGGTTGAATGCTTTCCTTAAAAAATATCTCTTCTTATAGTTATTACCTATTCTCAAGGCCAATGGCAATTTTTGTTGCGACCCTTTCATATAAAATATATGCTCTCACAGGTTTTGACTGGATGTTCTGTGCTGTTTTGCAGATTCCATGTTGTGGCCTATTTGCAGCAAATATGGTGGTTTGAAGTAGACGGGGCTATAAAGTTTCCTTTTCCTGCTGATATTTATACTCTATCCTTCAGGCTTCACCTTGGCAGATTTGCCAAAAGGTTGGGACGGCGTGTGTGCAATTTTGAGCACACCCATGGTTGGGATATAAAGCCAGTACGATTTACGTTGTCTACTTCTGATGGTCAGCAAGCATCTTCCGAATGTTGTTTGGATGAGACCGAACAAGATGAATTAAATGGCAGCCATAAACGTGGATGCTGGATAGAGTACAAGGTAGGTGAATTTGTTGTCACCAACTCAGAACCTGCCACTGAGGTCCAATTTTCCATGAAACAGATTGATTGCACACATTCTAAAGGTGGGCTTTGTGTAGATTCAGTTTTTATCATCCCCAGTGATCTCAGAGAACGTAAAACATGGGGGGTTTTGAGGTAGCCAAAAATACGAAGGCAATGTTGTTTAGTATTGTCAATGATCCCAGATGTTTCTAGCTGGGTTTTTATCATACAGCTTATACTTCTGTAGGTATATCATGTTTTAGGGGATATCATCATATTTTGACTTTGAAGTAGGTATATGTCCTCTGTGTTTATGTAATCTTACTGCTGTATTTGATCCAGTTTTGTTTGATTCTATACCTTTGCAGATAGAATTAACAGAAAATGCTTTGATTTGTCCCAGTCTTGCTGGCTTTCTGTTAAACATTTCATTAGTTAGTTTGATCCAGACAAGGTACAATTCTTCCTTTAGTTTAATCAAAGGTGTCATTAACACGTGTTCATTATACAACTTCAATGTTTCTGAGATTGCCTTCAGCTCCCCCACCCCTTCTCTATCTGTCTGATTGAGATACGATTTCTTTTCTCTCTCCTTCAGTTGGAATTATGATACTGTCTTTATTATTATTATTATTATTATTATTATTGTTTTGTAAATTTAGTATTCAACTCATTCTTTGTTACATGATACTTGAGCTAATTGTACTTCAAATTTTATATTTGTTTAGTTCTCCTATCCTTGCTTGCTTGCTGCAAATTTTTATTGTGATTTAGGTAAAGTCTACATTGTGTGTGGGTGATAAGTGTTTTACTTTTACCTCTTCCTTGAGAATGTTCAAGATTATTGCACAGTGCACATGATTAGACATGCTTGCTGTTTACCATTCAGTTACCCACCTTTATGTTATTATGTAGTAATTGAGAACAATAGTTTTAAGAGATCTTTAGTGGAAGTTTTCATATCCTGTTGCCTTTGGCAAAATGTTTGTAGCTACACATTATATTGTATGTTCTGTCTTGAATTCCATTTTCATAAAAGTTAAATTCACTCGGGGATCTTTCTTGCTTCGTTGTTTTTGTTTCACAGGGTTCCATTATCTGTTTATTACTAGTATGTCTGGTTAGGATCTTAGTCATTAGTTCCATCATGGCTGATGCTTCCCTTCACAACAATGATAACAGAAAAGTTTTGAAAAGATCAAGAACTAGTGACTAGTGGCCTTGTAATGGTTTTTATTGTGATGTTCAATCCTATATGTAGATTGGTCTGCTGATTGTCATGAGAATGCAATAAACGGTATTTAGTGGTTAAGCTCTAGGTTGCTGCCAGCTTGAATTTGTGTTGCATCCTAGCTTTAAAATTGACCTAATGAACTACTCTCTGTGCAAAATTGGCTCACGTTACACCGTTTGGTGCTAATGCTGGTATGGACCACAGGTAAGTATCTTAAAATTCTCTAAATGTGTGGTCAAGTTTTATGTTTTTGTGCTGTTTCAGTCCCAATATGATTGACAATGTTGATTCTTGTGACTAGGACTAAACCACAGGCCTAACTGAAAAGATTGACTAAAGAAATTATTGTCATTGGATTTCTATGGCAGGGGCCTTTGAATTTTTATCAGAAACTGTGACTAGTTTCTCTGTTGTGTCTCGTCTTTAATCTTCTAGCAATTGTTCATAACAACAGTTGATTTTTAACCATTGAAATATACTGGTTTGTATCATCTTAGATCTCTCGTCTTTCTTGGTACTTGATTATTATTGCAGCATCTCTTATCTGCATGGCATAATTTATCTATATTATAGATATCGAGTTTTTGATTGGTGTAACCCCTATATTGTTGTTAAACCCACGAATATTTGACATTCATTCTCATAATTTTAAGGATTGATTTGCTTGAGCAGTTCTATGGCAGGGAGTTCCTTGTACCTGATTTCACAATGCTATGCCACTAAGGTTCCCTTTGGTTAACTTGTTAAGTTTAATATAAACAGAACTTTCTGCTTGGTGTTTGAGCTCAAAATCTTTGCTTTGTAATGTTTGGTAAAACTAAAGATTGGAGTAGTGATTCAAAATGACAACTCAAAACTGTGATTTGTGGCCATCAATTTTTGATCCTTCAATTGCTAGCCAAATAGGAGAGTTTTTTCTGGTTCCTTCCAAATGTTGTGGTGACTATTTGTTTCTTGTTATGAGATCATGGTCTATAGAACTTGCTGTTGCTGGTTCTGTGTTCTTCAACCGGTGGCTAAGACTTTTTGAGATTGGTCCACCTCCGGCATCACTACAGCTACCAGCCTACCACATATTGGAACCACCCACATACAATTATAGTATGCAGCAATTTTTGGTGAAATGCTTCTGTTTTAAGACTTAAAAGTGGTGTACGAGTCTCCTTATTAAATTACTACCTGCAAAAATTGTCTCAAATCTAATTTATTTACTTTTACCAGGTCCAAGTTAAGAGCTTGTTCCTTACTAACCTTCGTTTTGGACCACTAATGAAAGTTGAAGGCTCAAGGACGCCCCTCATCTATGTTTTGTTGTGCTGGGTTTCTCCTACAGTTTTTTAATTCAAAGTCTCAAAGCCTTAGCAAGGACCACTTATGACATGTTCTATGTCTTGGACCTTCCCTATTAGGTCTGCTCTTCTTGTCCCCTTCTCAATCCCTTGCAATAGTTGTTTTAGGTTTTGCCTGTTGGTTGATTAATTTAATGCCCCCTTTAGTTGCTCTAGCCAGTTAAGAGAAATCAATGCATGAGATTTATAGCTTACTACTACGTCTTGCCAAAAGCTGAGCCTTTAAATCAATTTTTATAGCTAAAAATCCTAAAAACCTGTATTCTATTATGTATAAATATTATATGGGCTAGCATATTAGGGGTACTTCTGATCTACAATTGAATTTTAGACTTAATCTAAAACCTTCTAATTGATATTTTTAGTTCTTTATTAAAAATTTGACAAGATATCTAATAATGTGAAGTGCAATTTCTATAAAATTGCTGACGTTGGACTTGAATGTTGCATAACTAGGATGTTAAATAGATATATAGTAACACGAGATTATATAAGATTGGAAAATTGAATTCAACAAAACGCAGAAGATAGCACAAGTTAAGGATAAAATAAGAAAAGAATGTCTAAAATAGTTTGGTAATGTCTTAAATAAATCTTATGTGCTTTGATCGGTAATTGCGGTATCTTAATGGTAGAGGGCATTAAAAAGGGTTGATTATGCCTATTCCTAATCCGAAATGGAATGTAACGACGGAGAGGATGATTATGCTGGGGCTGTTTTTGTGTGTACCAAGAGTTTTTGGCATCCCCAAGGTCTTTTTCCTTTGTTTCTACCAAAGAAGAGAGACCAAAAAACATATGGATGAATCTCATAATAATAGACTAAAATTAAAATAAAATATTCATATAAATCACCTCAGCTAATTAGAAATTAAGGGTTAATTGTTGTTAGTATATCAATGTTTCACAAGTCATCCTCTCCAACAGCGAAAAGGTGTTTTGTGTGTCTTAATGGAGCCTTGAAAAGTATAGGGAGGAAAAAAAAAAAAAAAAGAGCTTTAAAAGCAAATTGGAAGCTATTTTGACAATGACAGCTCTCTTCTTTATATCATCTTCTGAAGATTAATAAAAAGCGCTTCGTTTTCTCAGGAAATCGTTAACTAGTTGAAAATAATGGTCCACTCTAATATTTCTCTCCAGCTCAGCCCTAAACTTTTCAATTGTAAAATTCTCATGCTAAACTTTCTTTGCAGGCAAATAGGCTTCAAGTGAAATTTAAATTAGTAATTTCATAATTTTAAAAATGACTACCATTAACCAATGATATTAAGGCATATTTTCAAAATATTGATATTGAAAGCTGTGGCTAGGGGTGTATATGAGCTGAGTCGGCTAGTAAGCTGTTTGAATTTGGCTCAAGAAAAATTCAAAACAGTTCGGCTCAAATTGAGTTGAACTCGAGTTTGAGTCCAATAATGTTCGGTTTTAAAACTCATCGAGTTTTATTGAGCTTTTATATACATATATATAATACTTTTTTAGGTTACTCCAGCCTTAACCTTCTAACCGAATTAGAACTTACTTAAATTCATGCTCGAACGAGATCAAACCTTAAATTTTGGACTCGCTAAGTTTCAAACTAAGCTTCGTGCTTGATAGGCTCAAGTTCGGCTCGATTTATTTACACCCCAGCTGTGGCTATAGGAGCTCCCACTTTAAAGAAAAAAAAATAATACAATAGCACCCTTTAAAAAAGTTCAATTTTTTTTTTTTTTAAGCTTAGAGATTGCACAATTATAAGCTCAAAATAGCCATTGAAATACATACTTAGATTTTGTTTTTTCAATTTCTGTACAATGTGAATTTGGTTAGGATGGTCCACTACAGTCCAGCCCAGGGATTTGGTGATGTCCTTGGTGCGTATGATGTGGGCTTCAAAACACCTAAAGAGAAGCTATCACATGCTAGGTCTTATTTGTGGGCTTCAAAAGTCCTTTTCAGTTCGTCAAACTGTTTGCTTGGTAATGTCTACATCATCGATGTTACCGGCATAAAAATAAATTACTCCCTCGTTCTAAAGAGATGGTGGATAATTTTACAAATGTAACTTTTCTATTATTATATAAAAATATTATTATATTGAAATAATAAAAATCATATTAATAATATAAAATGGTACTTTAAGTTGCAATTAATGAGAGTGACTAAATTGATGACGTTTTAAAATTCAAGAGGAAAAAACATAAATAGATTATAATAGAAAAGTTAGACGATTGATAATTGAAAATAAGATAAATCTTAATAAGAGTATAATATACAATTTAGAGATTAATTATAATGTAAAAAATATAAGTAGATTATATTTTGAGACAAACCAAAAAGAAAAATTGAATTATTTTTTTGAGATAAAAGAAGTATAATCGTAACTGTGGCTACCAACCAAAGCTGGTGATTTGGTTTCGGGTCATGAGACCGTCTGCTCTGGTCCTTAAAACCAAGAACTCGGGCCGGTTCGGTTTTAGTCAATTTTGAACTTTTTTTTTTTTCTTTCCTCAGCCAAAATATATTCAGCTTGGCTTTTGATGTAAATGTAATTTATGTATTTTAGGTTCCTTTTATCTATATTCATTCATTTCAATGTTGTATGCATTATAATAGAAATGGAAAGTTTTCTTAACCTCACAAAATCTCTTAGCAGTTGCAATGGAATTTAAAAAAAAAAAAAAAAAGTAATGTAAGGTCTCAGCATTAAATATCTGAAATTCAATCAACACAGAATCTTTCCCTTTTTTCAGAAATTTTCAGTTAATAAACCAAAACCTTCTCTCCACCACCTGTCTTCCATTGATTTTTCATTAACTAAACACTATTGACCTCTGTACATTTGTGGCAGAGGGTAAAATGTTTATCCCAAGAATTCAGCTTTATTCCTGGAATTTGTTAAAACTGTTTATGTACTGTGTCTCCATGGGAACAAAAATAGTTTCTTTTTTTTTTTTTTTTCCCTTTTTGTTGAAACTAAAACAAACAAATCCATTAATTATAAAAAATAACCAAATGAAGTAGTTTCTTCAATCTATGGAAAGCTTCTGTTACTCTTTTTTCCCATTTGAAGCAAAAAATGTAACATCTCAAACAATATGCATGCAAATAAACCATTCTATAGGTATTATTTCCAATGTTCCAAAAACATAGAAGACCCTTCCTCGTAATCCGAATATTTCCCGCTCGTTCTGACAGACAAGTAAAGAGCTAGCCTGTAGTTTTCATATAGTAGTTAATTTTTCGAATTAATGATAGATTAGCCACAAATTATGGAGGATGCAAAACTATAATTCCTACAAGCTATTAATTAATTAATACTAGAAACTACAATGAGGGGTTGTTATCAGCAATCCAGAGAGAGAGAGATAGATAGATCACCTTTAATTAATGCAAAAAGAACAACAATTTTCAATTTCAAAGAGAAAGAGAGAGATAGAGAAAGAAAGTGCAGTGACCTGTGTCTATGTTTGTCTCATCTTCTTCTACTTCTGAATTCTGATCTTCCTCTTCTCTACCGTTATAACCCCCCCCCCCCCCTCTTTCTTATTACTTTCTGAATTCTGATCTTCCTTTTTCTCTACACGTTATAAACCCCCCCCCCCCCTTACGTTCTGCCCATTTGATCATTTAATAATTACCCCCCTACGTTTCTGCCCATTGATCATTAATTAATTACTGTATCTACGAGCTCCATTTGTACATAGACTTGACCCCACAGACTGAAGAAAGAGAGAGAGAGAGAGAGAGAGAGAGAGAGAGAGAGAGAGAGAGTTTTCTTTACTATGCTGTGTTCTGCAACTTAAAATACGATGGGGAAGGAAATAAGAAGAGGGTGAAAATAATAGGATGAGGGTTTTATGTTTTATTTTATATATATATCTTTTCTAGTAGGTAGATTCAGATATTGCAGGTTTTTTTATTTATTTATTATTTGTTATTTATTATTTTTGTTAACCTGTTGGTACTTCTTCTTACGTAATTGCCCTACCTTGTATATTTTCTTTTTCCTAGAATCAGCATGCATGCATCTTTATTGATTGCAATTTACAAGTTATCAAATTAGAGATATCGGTTTGGATCACCGTTAAATAAATCTGTAGACAAAGGCGAAAAATTTTAACTCTGATTAAACATAGAGTCGGATTGGACAGTTCTTTATAATAGGATCAGGATACCGGTGCTGTATACCAAAAATATAATTGAGCAAACTAGTTTATAAAAAGAGAAATTTAAATCCTAATAATAACATTCATTATGGAAATTAAGGAAAGTAATTTGAATGGACTATTTTTGTTAGTTTACTAATTTTAATCTTTGATGTAAAATAATACACAAATCAACATGAAATAAGCAGAATATTATAAAAAACAACCTTCATTTTTTTTTAACGGAAATAACTTTTAATTTGATCTAGTGATTTTAACTGAAATAGAAAAATGAAAACATTTCAAAAAAAAGTAATATAAACTATTATTTTGGAACGAAGAAAATAATATAGAATAACTTAATCAATTATTCAGAAAAATTATACTCGTATATTTAATTTAGTGACATAATATTCTAACTTAACGATGAATTTTAAATTCTAAAAAAAAAATGTAATTAGAACATATATGAGGAGAGCAATTATGAATCCGAACAAAGATTAGTTTCCAATTTCCATCCAAAAATGGTGTGTGAACACCTACTTGTTAGGGAAAAAAATGTAAAAAAAAAAAAAAAAAAAAAAAAAAAAAAAAAAAAAAAAAAAAAAGGAAAAGCATGAAAAAAAAAAAAAAAAAAAAAAAAGGAAAAGCATGATGAAGCCTATACATGTAACAAGTGTTTCTTTTTGCTATATTTATATTTTTTTAAAAAAAATTTCAAATTATATTTCTTACTATATATATATATATGCAGATTATAGATTTTAACTAGTTAAAGTCTATTTTGACATTGTAGTTAAACTATTTTTCAGAAAAAGCATGGAAAAAAAAAAAACATATAATTTACTTGTTTTGTTGCTTTTATAATTAGTATATGTGAAATTTATTTTAAATAGTGAAACCAAACAAATCTTTAGTACTCGGTTTTCAATTTAAATTATTTAGGTTCAGTATTTTTTTTATTTGTCAGGAGACTCAATGAACTGAAATAATACTATGGTCTATACAATGGGTATAGCTCTCCACTTGACTCACTAAATTAATAAAAACTATTGTAGTCGTTATGACTTAAAACTTGAGACCTCCTATCACTTATATAAGTGAGAATACCGATCATATTCTTTTTTTTTTTTTTTTTTAAAAGCCCTCATTCCCCATTATGCTTTGCGACTAATTGTGATTTTTTTTAAGAATTTATTTTTGTTCCTACCACGTGATGTTTCTACCTGTATATATATCAGGGTAATATTTAAGTAAAGTTTTCTCAACAACAATTATTCAAATTTTTCAAAACCTTAACTTTGTGATTTCAGTTTTAAATCATTAAAGTAGACATACGTAGAATGTATATATATCACGGTAATATTTAAGTAAAGTTCTTTCATAAATTATATATCTATGTATCAAGGTGATATTTAAATAAAGTTCTCTCAACATAAGTGATTCAAAATTTCAAAACCTGTTTGTGATTTCAGTTTCGAATCATTAAAATGCAGTTCATCTCTATGTTAGGATACCGGCAATCAAATTACGAAAAATAATTACGGCAACGGAATAATAGAAATGGGACACACAGAAATTTACGTGGTTCACCCTCAACTATTTAGGGCTACGTCTACGGGACAAACTCTTAATATTTCTTCTACTATTAAAATTAGTAGGCTTACAAAGAGAGTAATACAAAATAGTGGCACTCACAAGTGTTTTCCAAAAACACCCCAAAATAATAGTGTTTTTTTCCAAAAATGTTTTCCAAAAACACCCCAAAATAATTTCCTCACTATTTTTCTCTCCCCTAATTTTAGGAAACCTTCCTAAAATTATAACTCTCTATTTTCTATTCAGCGAGTTGTGTAATTATTTTTCGTAATTTGATTGCCGGTAATCCCAACAAGTGGTATCAGAACTGATGCCCAACATGTGGTATCAGAGCCCAGATTTGGAGCGGGCGTGAGCAGCGGACTGCACAGTGTGAGAAAATCTCGGTGTGACAGTGTAACAACAGGACCAAGACCGGAAGAAGATCTGCAGGTGGTGCCTTGTGTCGAAAGTCTTCCCGACAAGAGGAGGTCGGGCGCTGTCCTGCAAAGTTGTAGCAGCGGGTACAAGATGGTAGGCAGATCTCCGACAAGAGGAGGTCGGGCGGCGTGTCCTGCAAAGTTGTAGCAGCGGTACAAGATGGTGGGCAGATCTAATAGATTATCCCTGGAGGAGAGGTCACGATTTGTGTGATCCTTGGTTTGGGGGAGGTTTGTTGGGATAACCTCCCAAGTCCCACATCGAACAAAAATGAAAAGAGGAACCAAAATATAATGGTTCAACCCAACCCATTAGTATGAGACCTTTTGGGAGGTGTCCAAAAATAAATCCGTGAGGGCTTGGCTCAAAGCGGACAATATCATACTAATTTGGGGTTGGGTGAGGGTACGTGGGATCCCGATGACAAGTGGTATTAGAGCTGATGTCTAACACTCTAATGATTCTAACTGTTGCTGAGAGAATGTTTAATTTAATCTCTGTGCATATACAGAAAAGCAAAGAAAAATTTATGTGTAGAAAAAACTTGGAGTTGGAGAGAGAGGAATCAAAGGTCTCAATCGATATGGTCCCAAATAGCAAAGAAGACTCGCTTCTACAAAACTGACATAATACGTTGCCTTTCCCACGCGTCGTCCTCACTTCTTCCCTACACCAACAAGTACTGCGACCGACAACACTCTCTCTATATCCACCTTAATTAACCTTTGTTGCACCCTAAAAGTGAAGTATAGAGATAGAGATAGAGAAGAACCTTTCATTTCTTTTGTTTTTTTTTTTAATTTCAAAAATTTTTGCACCCTACAAGACAATTACTATCTCTTCTCCCACCTCACGCCTCTCCTGCTCTCAGCCCCTACCCATCTCTCTCTATCTCTGTGCTCCTTTTTCATGTCCCATTTCCATATATATTTGTGCTACAAGAGACAAACATAGCTACTCCAAAATCATGGATTGGCATACCAACTTAGGAACCTTTGTTTCTCGACCTGAAACCTCCTTTAACTTCCTGTACAACTATAACCATGACCAGTATACTCCAGGTCTGTATGCAAATCTCATGTCTCATTGTCTCCCCCTCCCTTTTATCTCTTTTGCTCAATTGGGTTTTAAAGTTCAGCATATACATACATATTTTCATATACATACATATCTCATACCCTTTTTTTTTTTTTTCAATTTTTAGGAATGGATATGAAGCATCCTGCAATGGCCAAGACACCACATGGGCTGGTTGTTCCGGCAGCTATGGACAAGATTAGCTTTGGAAGTAGTCAAGAAAAGAAGAAAAGATTGACAAGTGATCAGTTAGAGTCATTGGAAAGAAGCTTTCAAGAAGAGGTCAAGTTAGACCCTGATAGAAAAATGAAGCTTTCTCGTGAACTAGGGCTTCAGCCTAGACAGATTGCTGTTTGGTTCCAAAATAGACGTGCTAGATGGAAAGCTAAACAACTTGAACGTTTGTATGATGCACTTAAAGAAGAGTTTGATGTTGTTTCTGTTGAGAAACAGAAGCTTCAAGAAGAGGTATTAGTGCATGTTCACTGCTAAAGTTTAATATAGTCGTTTTTAAGACTCTGAGATTAAAGAAATTATATACAGCTCTTAGTTTCCTTAGGATGGATTATCTGTCTGTCTGTATCGACCGTACTGCAAGAGATTATAAGGTTGTAAATTGTTAGCAATTGAAGTTGTCGATTAATTTTGTTTTACAGGTTATGAAACTGAAAGCAATCCTCCGGGAGCAAGCGACCAAGAATCAAGTGTCCACGGGATACACAGAGATCTCCGGTGAAGAGACGGTGGAAAGCAAATCGGTTGCAATTTGGAGCTCTAGTGGGAAGCCACGTGGAACAAGTCATCAGCATCAGATTTCAGAGTGCAACTATACGATGAACGTTGACGAATATAACCCAGTATCATCACCTTACTGGGCTGTTCTTCCAACTTACCCTTAATTAATTAATTAATAAACTTACGCTAGCTATTACTGTTGTTGTTTATACTTAATTAATTATTAATTATGGTAGAGTTAATTTAGACTAGTACCTAAGTTTATATAATATATATGATGATCAATGTTAGTTTTATTAGCTTTTTTTAGTGAAGGAATTAGATGCATGGCTTCTGCTGTTAAGCTATATTAATTATTAATTATTAGCATATAATAAAATTTTGGAAGCCTTTATAATATATACATATAATAAAATTTTTTGGAAGCCTTTATAATATATATATATACTATATATATATATACTGATATATATATATATATACTATATATATGTATTGTATTGATTTTTTATATTTATTATTATGCATTGAATCTTAATTTTGGACCTATATATGTATGTATGATTTTATATTATATATTATGCATGAATCTAATTTTGGACCGCCCTAATAGTAATAAGGTACTCTTCTAATTTCAGTCATTTAAGGTAGATATACATTGGATAAGATCTATCATTTTCTTATGGTCTGACCCTATGAACATAAATTATTGTTTAATTAAATTTCGTCAATTATGGTACTGATTAATCTTTGAGGTTCATATTCTGGATAGTCCTCGTTAGAGCTATTTTCATGGTTGTTTTATAATATTTATGAATTTTTTATCTCTGCTGATATTTAACGTAGTTTGTTTCGAGGTTTGCTCTCTTTCCGTGTTTGAAAAGAAAGAGATATGAATCAACCTACTAATGCGGGAGAGTCTTACATGTAACATGATGATCAAAGGGTATATTTTTAGAAATTATTCAGTGTAAAAAGTAGTAAAGGGTTTTAGCTAGGTTGCAATTCAAATGGAAAGCATTTTGATTTTGGAGTCATTTTGTTTTGAAACGGCATGTCGCGTTGATTCTCATAACAAATTTGGCAATTAAAAGAAAAAACGAAGCATTTGAGTGTGAACGACAATAGAGATGGATTTAATGGAGATTGAAAGACGTGCTTGTCGTTTGGGCCTAAGCCTCGGCTTCATAATTTTGCAAACTCACCCTCTCAAGTTTATGGCTAACCTTGTTTTTATGTACTCATTCATTGATGAAAATCGTCGGGAAAATTAAGAGTTTAAAGTTTACATTAAAAAAAAAAAATGAATGGGTCCATTCAATTGGTAATTGATATCGTTCGGAGAGTATTGCATAAATTTAATAATTTACGATCCTAATTATAAAATAAGGCATGAAATTTAATTTGAATTCTGTTTTTTAAAATTTAATTCTCTCTCAAGATTATCGATTATCATGATTCATCGGTAAAGGCATAGGACTTAAAAGACCCGAATCAAAATATGAAGGTTAAATTGACAAAATCACTGGAGTTCAAGAGGCAATTCAATTCTTGATTTAGCTTGCTGAAATACAAGTCGTCCTAGCCGCCTAGTGGCAAGGATGATGCATGGGGACAAATCAATTCTTGATATGGTAACATTTAATTTTTTTTTTCCCTTTCAATGGGTTGAGGTTTGTAATGAATTGTACTTTTAATTCCTTTCCCTTCAGTGGATTGTCTTGCCCAGAATATAACTTTGTAACAAATTGTACTATTCTTAATGGGTTATTAAATTATTATCATTGCTGACGATTCATTATATATAATATCAAATGAAAAAGAAAAATTTAGCTTACTGAAATTTGAATACATTATAAAAAACTCCATTAATTTTTTTATTTTAATTTATTATGCAAACAAAAAAAAATTGAAAACGCCAAATTAAAAATTATATATATATATAATTATATTTTAATTTAAATATACTAATACAAAAATATAACAGCATCAATTAAAATACATTCTCGTAACAACCTTAACAGCATCATATTAAAATTACATTCTCGTGGAACAGACCTTTTTATAATTATTTTCGCCTAAAAAAAAAAAAATATTAATATCTTAATAAATTTAAAGATATAAAAAAAATAAAATAATTTTATAAATAAATTTTTAATATGCATTATTTTATCAAAACTATGCAACCAAAATGTTAATATTTACTTATTATTTTATTATTTTAATGCTTTCATAATCTTATTAATAAATATAAAAAAATAAAATAATTTTTATTAAATAAATTTTTAATATGCATATTTTATCAAAATATGCAACCAAAATGTTAATATTACTTATTATTTATTATTTTTAATGCTTCATAATCTTATTAATAAATAGAATTTTAACTAGTAATTAAATCCACATACAAAATAAAACCAAATTACCTAATAGCAAATAATTAACTATTACTAATATTTTTCGTTCACCAAAGATTAACCTAAACGTTGGACTCCAAACAAATGACCTGAACTCTAGTCCCTCTACTAGCGAAACAAAACATCTCCCCAGGTCCTAAACGTTGGAAGCTCACTGCCACTGGTACACCTAGTCCAAGAATATTTGGCATTACTCGGAGTGGCACGAAGCAGGAAAACAATATTAAATCCAGAAACGCTAAAATTGCTCAACTTAAAGCTTAAGTGTATGACATGGGACAAGCAAAATTTTAAAAAACACTGCATCTTGGCCAATCAAAGTCTATAAAGCCAAAAAGTACACAAAAAATCCCTATAACTCCAACTTGAAAGGATAGATAATAGACTTTAACTAGTGATGAAATGCACAGTACAGATAATAGACTATATGCTCAGCGCTTTCCACCACCACCTCCAAGTTTGGGACCCTTTCCTGCAGTCTTGGGAGCATTTCCTTTGCCTTGTGTCTTCTGTGCCTTGGCTGTCACTTCTGCCTTCTTTGCCCTCTTTTCGTCTTTGGTTTTCTTGATCCTTTCCTTGATTTCGCTGCATTACACAATTACATCTTAAGTCAGCATAAAATTCCATTATTGAGAATCAGAAGAATACACACAAATGAACAAGGAACCACATGATAAATGCAATTTGTTCAACAACCATGGAGAAATACCAATAATCTCTTTTTAAATGAAAAATTGAACCATGGAACCACATGATAAAGCATGCTGGCCCCACAATAATATCTTTTTAAAACATGCTACCATTATAGTACAAGAATACGCATTTAAGCAGGGCATAAAGCAAATTATCCAACAGTAAATGCTAAGAAATACACACCGAAGGGCAGCTTCCCTTGCAGCATCACGAACTTCTGGCTTCTCAGTTCTTCTCTTCTGGATAACCTCCAAAGTGGCACCCACAATAGACCTGGAGTAAGGCTTCTTGGTGGCACGTCTCCTCTTCTTTACAGCCTCTTGAGCAATATCCTGCATGAAAATTTCAGGCATTGTTTAATTGGAGTCAACCATAAGCCACAAGCATCCAGAAACTGAACAAATGGCAATAATCTAAGCAGAATTCTACAAGATGCACTTTAGAGTAAATTCTTCATAGACGATTTGATACCATAGAGTATTGAAACATGAACATCTATGATGATTATATTACCAAGAAATGTATGATTATATGACCTCCATTTGATAATCAGTAAATTCAGATGCATGTGACCAATTTCTTTTCATACCATTTAGCTGTTTGATTACTTACTAGAAAGACACAAAAAAGTGCAAGAGAGAAGGAATAGTAAGAGCATAGTCATACTTTCTTGATCACTTACAAAAAAGAATAAAAAGTGTAGGCAAAATCAAAGTTAACTTTACCTTCTTATGCTGCTTCCTATACATGGCCGTCCATGTAAGCTTTGATGGCTTCAAACGGTTGTGAAAGTACCTCTTGCATTTTGAATTAGCAAACAGGAAGACCTGAATAAAACAACAAAAAGAATATCGCAATCATCAGATAATCCCATTACCCCTACAAGAATGATTATCAAATAAAAAAAATAAACAACTAAATTGGTTAACATAAAATCAAATTAGGAATTACCTGAGAATCAGAACGAATAAATCTGATGCCTTTACCGGGATAAATCTTAGCCCCACTAAAACGACATAGCTCTGTCCTGATATGTCAAAATAAAATAACCAGTGCTGCTGGCTTTAGAACCTCATCCATATGCTATATATAAGTTGGCAATACTAATAACAATCAATCCCTTAACTCACCATGCAAGAGAATTGCATAAACAGCATATGAAACTAGAGCAAGTGCATATCTCCTATCATACTTATACACAGTAGGAAATTAAAAAAAAAAAAATGCTACTTTAAGACGTAGAGGATCTCCCTTTCTGAAATGCAAACATACAATTTCAACAATGGAAACTATACTCTCATCTCAAATTCACAGATGACTAGTTATTTTGCCTCCATGAACATAGAACTATATTTAAAATCCCCATTAGATGATTTAAAGTCCAAGTTCAAACCGTGCAAATATTCAACTATCTCTACATTTTCAGATAAACAGAGCTTTTACTTCCCTATTTTTTTATACTAGTATCTATAAAACCTAGCATGACACATAATTCAATCTCGCAAATCAGCCTGATTGGGTACCTATAGCTAAAGATCAGATCTAGCAATTGCTGAACATTTCAGATAAGTAAAACGAAAATATGTACATAATCAAGTAAATAAAGTATAAGGAGAGAAAGAAATAGAGGGACAGATACGTACTTGAGAACCATGGCTGCCTCTTCTGCTGTTGCCGCTTCTGTTGTGGTGGAAACCCTAGAAAGATTAAAAATCTGATAACATCAGTATGTATAGCAAGGGTCTAGCATAAATAGCCCTTTAATTCCAAAAGAACCACGAAAATGCCACTGAGGACTGAGGTGATTGCAATGAAATTCGGCCCATATTACTCTAAGTAAGCCCATAGAGGTCACGATCCGTTGGGCTACTTGGGCCCGCCTAATTTCAATTCATTTAGACTGGTTGTCCCTTAATAAAGGGTGAGCATAAATAAATAAATTGATTAATAAAGAAATCAACAATATTCTCATAGGCCATTGATGAGACCATGATCATCTCCACTGCTCTTTGCTATTCTTGTTGAGTCGGTCGACTAAGAAATAAAACGCTCCAATAGATTTGCTTCATTCTATGGATAAAAAATTAAAAGTGTATAAAAAATAAAAATAAAATGAGCATTGTCAACATGCAACGCACGTTAAACAAAAAACTAATAAGAGAAAAAGTATTAAACTACTGTTCATAATATTATTTTAACGCTAATCGATGTATAGATGGAAAGATATCCTAAACAAATATACGTATATATAGAAATAGAATAACATCATCTGACTCCGTAACCACTCAGCTATTATTTAAGAGATAAATAGAATAATATCATCCAACTCTGTAATTATTCGGCTATTATTTAAGAGGGGTGAACATAGTTTAATTGAAAATGAAAAAATTGGCTAAATAAATGTTTTTTCCTTATCTTTTTCAATTTTTTTAAAACTTGATTCCACTCAATTAAATGTTAGATTTCAATATTTTTTTGGTTATTTCAGTTCCATTTTAATAAACATTATCAAATTAAAACTATATGAATTTTAATACTACATTAGTATGATATACTAAAAGTTATATATTTAGTGTATGTTTGATACAAAAATTTGTTGAGGTTGAAGATTTTGTTAGGTAATATTAATTTTCCCAATGAGTTTTATTAAATGTTTTATAATCTGCATTCTGAATTTCTAAATACACATTATGTTTTAAACTGTATCAATAATAAAAATAATATTTTAACTTGAGTCAGTGAAAAATAAATTGCTTTTTTAATATTAAATAATTATTTTTAGTTCTGAAATAAAATCTAATTATTTTTAATTTTATTATAATTTAAAATAATTAATTTTTTTAATCTTTATAAAAAGGAATGAGATATTGGTGGTAACAAAAATTATAAGAACCTCAAAATTTATACAAGAAGCAAACAACAAATATAGAATAGAGGAGCGTTTCGAAAGTAAGAAAAGAAGAGAAAAACCATACACATGATTAAATGGGGAAAGCAAACCACTGACTTATCATCATTTCCAAAACAAATGATTGATGACACCTCACTTATCCATTTTCACAAACCGGTAAGCGTTTCGAACAATTAGAAAAGAAGAGAAAAACCATACCAACATTTGATTAAATGGGGAAAAGGCAAACCACTGACTTATCATCATTTAATTTTATTATAATTTAAAATAATTAATTTTTTTAATCTTTATAAAAAGGAATGAGATATTGGTGGTAACAAAAATTATAAGAACCTCAAAATTTATACAAGAAGCAAACAACAAATATAGAATAGAGGAGCGTTTCGAAAGTAAGAAAAGAAGAGAAAAACCATACACATGATTAAATGGGGAAAGCAAACCACTGACTTATCATCATTTCCAAAACAAATGATTGATGACACCTCACTTATCCATTTTCACAAACCGGTAACTTCCTGTAACTGGATCCGTATCCGACTCCATGACCCGATGGAACGCAGAAGAAGATGATGAAAAAGGAAAAAAAATAAAAAGCAACACAACAAAGCCGAGAAATTTCTCATCTTTCCCGGTACAATTCTCAGGCCTCAAGAATTATTTGCACAAGATCCATTTACACTGTAACCCTAATCCATTGTAAATCTCTGCGCGGGAGAGAGAGACAGAGAGGAGAGTTAATCGACGACAACTGTGGAGCGAGCGGGCAATGGATGAGAAGCAACACATGGTGGAAGAAGAGGATCGGAGCAGCGAAAGTGGAGATTATACGTCGGAAGACGAAGGAACTGAGGATTACCGCCGCGGTGGCTACCATGCGGTGCGAATCGGTGATACCTTCAAAAATGGTCGTTACGTTGTTCAAAGTAAGCTCGGTTGGGGCCATTTCTCCACCGTCTGGCTCGCTTGGGACACGCAAAAATCTGTACGCTTCCTCTCCTTACGCATATATTTTTCGTTTTCTTTTTCTTTTGAGGTCGATCTCGTATGGAATTCGTGTTATTTCTCTGATTTGTTAGTTTATTATGCATTTGGTTTCTGAAGTTTTTGTTTTATTATTATTATTTTTTGTTTAGTTTGTGTATAAGGCCAGATTTGATTTTATTTTCTAATTTCAATTCAGTGCATATCGGTGCACTTTGGTTTCATGGTGTTTCTCTTTTATTGTTATATAGTTGCTTTTTCTTGATTTAGCTGGAGGAATTAGATTATGATATTTCTGTTTCATCTTGATTAAGTTTAAGCGAGATAGAACTAATTTTGTTGAATTATGGTAGTGCTTTTCATTTCAAATTCAATAAGGATCAATTTAGTTCTACAAGCATGCTGTTAATGACATTTTTCCTGGCTGTACATTGTTTCATGGCCGATACCTGTTGAGCTAGGGAAATTTACCTCTTTTTGATTGTATTGGTGTTCAAGTATGCAGCTATTGGTTTCTAGAAAATGCAAAAATAAAGAAGAGTATTCAACCTTAATTTTACAACTTTTCTCGAACCTTCAACCTTTGCTTTTACAAATTTTCTTGAAACTCTATTAGATTGAGAACTAGGGGGCTAATTGGCTTGATTGAATTCATGCATTCATCATTTGCAAACAGAAACAAGTGTAATAATACATCTTTGTCTTTGCATTTTGCACTTTGTCCGAACAACTGGATGAGTTCAGTTGAGCGTTTCACAATTTCATTTTTAGTTTAGCTACTTTGTCAAAAAATGCAGCAACAGTTATTGATAATTTTCTTTTTGGTCTGCGTGTATTCGGCATACTTCAAAAAAAAAAAAAGCTGATAATTTTTTTATCTTTTCCAAAAAATGCAGCAATTTGTAGCTTTGAAGGTACAAAAAAGTGCTCAACACTATACTGAAGCTGCCATGGATGAGATAACCATCTTGCAACAGATTGCAGATGGAGATCCTGATGATAAAAAATGTGTGGTAAAGCTTTTGGATCATTTTAAGCATTCAGGTCCAAATGGACAGCATGTTTGTATGGTTTTTGAGTACTTAGGTGATAATCTTTTGACCCTTATCAAGTATTCTGATTACCGTGGAATGCCCATCCATAAGGTTAAAGAGATTTGTTTCCATATTTTAGTGGGTTTGGATTATTTGCATAGACAACTTTCTATTATACATACTGATCTGAAGCCAGAGAACATATTGCTATTATCAATGATAGACGCATCAAAGGATCCAAGAAAATCTGGTGTGCCTCTCATTCTTCCAAATAGTAAGGATAAGACTGCTCTGGAATCTATTACAAAACTAAATGGAGATTTGACTAGGAACCAAAAGAAAAAGATACGAAGAAAGGCTAAGAGAGCAGCTCAGGGATGTGTGGAAAAGGAAGCTTCTGCTGAAACTGATGCAGATCCTGAAACATCTGCCACAGAGGAAACAATCGTGGGTTCTGCTGAAGATCGACCTACTAGTTCTGATAATGCAAACAGACTATCTGATGCCGATGGAACAAAAGGTATTGGGTCAGAAAATCAGGGTAATAAGAGGGGAAACCGCTCCACAAGGCAGAAGCTGTTGGCCTCTGTTGACCTGAAATGCAAATTGGTGGACTTCGGAAATGCATGTTGGACATACAAACAGTTTACAAATGATATACAGACTAGACAATATCGGTGTCCGGAGGTGATCCTTGGATCTAAATACTCCACGTCAGCTGATCTTTGGTCCTTTGCTTGCATTTGTTTTGAGCTTGCAACTGGTGATGTGCTTTTTGACCCCCATAGTGGTGACAACTTTGATAGGGATGAGGTAAGATATGCTATAGAATTATCATTGTTTATGACGGTTGCTTGATGTTTTCTTCTTGTTCTCCCTCTTATTCTTTCTTTTTAAAATATGCATCGGTTGCATAATATTTTCTACTGTGCCTCAGCCACTTCCTTTCTCTCAGTACACATGCAGGAAAAAATGAATCTTTTTAATATATGTTATTGGAACATTGAATCAAATGTAGACTATAAAAATGTTATAATATTTTCCAAAATGTATTTCAGATGGAATAAGTAGGAAACCTGCAGGGCGTACAATATTTGAAAGTTTACTTGCTACAATTTATGATTTTAGGAGCATAAAGGTGCCAAATCCTTGTGGCTTAGTCTAGCAACATATTTATGTCTGCAATCTACTCATAAATCCTGCAAATCGCGACATGAATATTTTTCTTCCTTTTACTATAGTATTGTAGGGATGTCAATGATAGTAAAAGGTTATTATGCTCCAAACCTATTTATTGAGTCATTAGAGATGGCAATCGTTGCATAATTGTAGATTAAGCCTTTGTCAAAACTCAAAAAGAAAAAGGAATTTTGTGACAATGTTTTGCTAGTCAAGAATAGATGTATTATGGTTTGCAATCTGCAACATGTCACAAGCAGGAACAAAATCCTATGATGCTAACATTGATTGTTCATATAAGCACTACGTTCTACCCTGGTGTAGACCTTCTATTTTGTTTAATCCAACATTGTGCTTATAGTGCAGCTACAGTTACCTGATTTTCATGCACATACGAATCGTTTAGCACTCTCTCGCCAAAAGCTTTGTCATATGGATCAATATCAACATTAGCAGTTGTGGTTTTTTCTTATAATTCTCTTTTATGTTATGCATGCTACCCTTCATGATGCAGAGCTTGTCGGAGCAGAATCTAATTTTTTTTTTCTCCTCATGAATTGGAAAATTGTTTGTCTCATTGTGCTTTTAGCATGTCCTAGCATTGGTTTGCTTGCACTTGGATGCATACCTCCATGATTTGGGAAAGTAATCCGACTTATACCATCTTAATTTGGTAGAGATGCTTATTCTTGTGTGACATGACCAGTTATTTTTGTGGTTGACCATGTCCATTTGATTGCATACTTAAAGAAACTGCATGATTGGTAACAACAGTAAATAAGGTAATATGTTCTGTTGAAACTTTTACAAACATACTCTTTATGTATTTCAATTAAACTTTTCCTAATATATTTTTATTAAAAATCCATTTTTTTCCGGTGCACCAGTAGTGTATGAGGTAATCTTCTGTAGTTTGCCCGAGTCTCATAAGTTATCCTATTTTTGGCTCCAACAAGGCATTAGTTTGTATTTATTATTGCAATGTGACTTCAGGATTAATTTGGTTATTTGCTTTCCAGTGAAGAGATAATAGAAGGGAGTGGCGACCAGATTTATATTTGTGGAAATATGCTACTCTTTGCCTTTTTTTCTATTCTGAGTATTACATAATTAATCATTGCAAGTTTATATAATTTTCTCTATCTGTTTCAGGACCACTTAGCATTGATGATGGAGCTTCTTGGAATGATGCCGCGCAAGGTGAGACAGTTCTTTTCCGCTGTTTAATAAGTGACATAAAAAAAACATTTACATCTAACTCCAGGATGTTGGCATTGATTCTCAGATTGCATTAGGTGGCCGTTATTCTCGGGATTTCTTCAATAGATATGGTGATTTGAGGCATATACGCAGATTGCGTTTCTGGCCCTTGAATAAGGTTCTCATAGAGAAGTATGAATTCAATGAAAAGGATGCAAATGACATGACTGATTTCTTGGTCCCTATCCTTGATTTTGTCCCTGAGAAGCGGCCAACTGCAGCTCAGTGCCTTCTTCATCCGTGGATCACTTCAGGCCCTCATCTCTTAGAGCCATCTATGCCAGCTCGACAAAATGAAGCCTCAGAAGGTCTAAACTTGGAAAAGAAGAGAGAGAAGGATGAGAGGGAGGCAATGGAAATAGGAATGGGGAATATTGCAATCAATGCAGATTCCAAAGCAGTTAAAGATTCTCCATCTAGCAGTAAACTCTCCAAGCCAGCCACCATTAGCTCTTCTAGGTAGGATTCCAGCCTATGGGACTAGCATTCTGGCCCTTCTTATCATCCATTGCGGTTTTCTGCGACAGCACCTGGCATTCTTGCAGGACATGATCTTACTGGGAAATTATCTAATTTCCATATTAGTAGTGCGGGAGCATGAACATGGAATGGAATCATGTGGCTCTGATGCCAGTGCGGGTTTGGGCGGTGAATTGGATTAAAAAAGAAAAAGTGGATGCGATGGGAGAACTCTCTCAAGCACGATTCTTGGAGTTTGTCTGTTGGACGATTGGTCAAAAGAAACTTTTGCTGCAAACTGTGCGTTTGTGAAGATTGTTTGTTTTATGTGATTCATGTACTGGATGAATAGTAGATGCTGGATTTTAGATACATTATTTAAATCTACAAATTTTTTTCTTTCAGCAGGACTTTCCCTTAGTATTTTATATGGAGCTTGTTGCATTTTCTGTCGGAGCCCCGGCTGGTCGGAAATTTTGATGTTCTTGGTGTGTTTTGTGTGATTCTCTCTTGTATTAGATGCTATGTTTCTCAATTGAACAAAACTGACTGATAAATTCATGGAATGTTTAAATTTTATCATTCAAATTTTATCAAAACGCCCTTTTTTAAGAGGAAGATACCTCGAGATTTTAAGTCGATATTGTTATTATTTTTATTTTGATCGTTTTGTCGTTTTAAGTTGAAGTTTAAACTTGAACTTGGCGTCTGACAAGATTAACAACATTAACAGACAGAACAGGCGGAAGCTTAACCATAATGGGAAGGATTAGTGGGCCCAATTTTATCATTATTATCATTTAATTGAACGTACAAATGTGTGAAAGCTGACTTCATATCTGACAATAATCCACCCAATAATATCTTAATTCAAAATTCCATTTTGTACTGCTGCGATGATTTGAGTTCTTTCCACTCCTATCCATCGTCTACTCGTAATCTTTTGACAACAACATTTTCTGCTCTAATAATATGTTACACTTGTAATTTCAACGGTTTGAATTTTGTTAATTTTAAATTTTTTTTTCAATTTTTTTTTGTTTTAATATTTTTTAACTCAAATATAAATCAAACATTTCAATTGTAAATTTATAAATGATTTCCTTCCAAATTTTTATGAAACCATTTATATTGCTATAGAATTCCAAAAAAAAAAAAAAAAAAAAAAAAAAAACGGTTTGGAATTTTGTTTAATTGTTAAAATTTTTTTTTTCAATTTTTTTTTTGTTTTAAATATTTTTTAAACTCACAATATAAATCCCTCAACCCTTTCTGTTTTTGGCAGAGTACAGAAACTCAATTCAAGACATTAGAATCTCTCTCACGGAGAAGGTTGCTTGATAACCTCTTTCATAATAACTTCTCACCTAAGCTATTTCACAATTGTTTATCAAATAAAACCTGTCTACTAAAGATTACAGAATCTAAAAAAAAAAAAAAAAAAAAAAAAAAAAAAATCTCAAACACTGTTTTTATAAAATTTTTGAAAGCTAAATAGATATTTTCGGTTGTGGCAGCATCCGGAAATTATCAAATTATTTAGGTTTAACTCCATTAAAGTATTTAACTTTTCATTTCAAAAATGTTATTTTCACCATTAAGCGAAGGACTAAATAGTAATTAAATATAAAACGTGAAAATTAAAAATAATAAAGTATTTGAATTTAATGAAAAAAATAATCAAATATTTTAATTATTGCAATGATAATAATTAAAAATAAATAAATCTTAAGATAAATCTCAAAAACTAATCGATGTAATTGTTAGACAAGAAAAATGAAAACATAATTATGATTAAATTCCCAACTAAATAATTATTTACCATTTCTTTTAATTTTAAGAATGAAAATCCTTTTTCCCTTAAAAAAAAAAAAGAATGAAAATCTTTTAGTTGGATAATGATGAAGTTCCAAATGGTCAACATTTGGTCTGCCAGATTCAGAAGCAAAGGAATGTTTGTTCACTTCCCCCCTCCATTCTCTATCATTGAGCTTCATTTTTAATTTTAATAATAATAATAATAATGAACTTGAATTTTATTTTTATTTTTATTTTTTGATTATATTATTTTTAGTTTTTTTATTGATGATTGAACTTGAATCACTTAATTTTTATTCTAAAAAATTATCCTTCGTATTTATGAATTTTATTTTCCAATTAATCAATTCTACAAAATTTTCAATAGATGCCATGAATTTTACAAATTTCATATTTTCATTCATCAAATGATAATTAGATATTATTATCAAGAAAATATGTGTATGGGCCAGCCATATGATATGCAAGATCTTATCAGAAAAAGAAGGTGTGAAGAAGCTGCATTTGAATTGATTTATCAAAAAGCAAACCTTCATAAGATTCCAAATGGGATATTTCTTTATCTGCATCATGCAAATATCTGGCTTTTTCCTTTAATTCCAAATTTGATTTTGGACTTGTTTGATCATTTTCGAACACATCTTGTATTGAAATGTCCATAGGAGTTCTATTTTACTCCAAATTTTGTTTCTAATCAGATTCACTTCATTTAAATAATGCAGCCAAAAAACAGATGATAAGTGAATGCATTAGAAGAGAGACGGGTTGAATGAAATTTGCATTGATTTTCCTTTGAACAAATGCATAGATTTACCCTTCAAATTTAGGCGATTTGCCTTGTGCCACCTTTATATTTACGGAGAACTACCATGATCCTGCACCGTCATATTTCAGTAATAACTATACTCATCGCCAATCATGATTGAACTCTTACAAAATTATTTTATTTAGGTAAGAGTATAGTTAATAGATCTCCGCAAACTTCAAGTTTCAAGTTTATGCATTAGGCTACTTTATTTTGAAATTGTTGGAAAAGAGTGGCCTTTTACCATGGCTAAATTACTAACTAAAATTCTCATATAAAACACATTTATGAGAAGGAATATAAACAAACCCGATAAACGAGATTAGTCTCGTATCCAACCCGAAAAAAGTGTGATACGATATCAAATTCAAATAACAGTAAATTTATTTTGGTAAATAACAAATATCCATTCATTTCAAATCCATGCAAAGTGTTTTATAAAGAAAAAATTACTAATACATTTTATATATGCAAAAGAAAGGGACAAAAAGAGAAGTATATAAACTGAATCCTTCAAAGATATTATTTATTCTTAAAATAGGAAGAAAAAAATTCCAATATCAGCAAATGTAGAAATGCATAACAAGAGTAACTTTATTAAGCACTGGAGGTGTTAGCCAGTAGCTAACACTCAAAACATATGGCCACAAAGTAACAAAAATATAGCAAAAAGCAAAACAAGGCACTCTGAAATTGGTTGGTGTCAACCGGTAACTAACACCCAAATAAAATACAAATTAACATTGAAAAGACAAAACCCTTTATTACTGTTTCAAGACAAATTTTGTTTGACTTGGTCAACTAGGTGTTGGCCAACATATCACAATTTGTCCCTTATCTTTTCACTTTTTGCGCTAAAAACCTTTCCTAGCCATTTTACCATACACTAAATCTTCATTTTAAGCTTCACAAGTTTCCTACTTGAAAGTGCAGAGGATTGCCAACGATCATTGACTGCTGCAGAACCCTAAGAATCCCATAAATTCATGATTACTTATCATTTCTATACTGTTCTCGATTCCAATAACTCCTGCAAAAGATCGAATATTCGTAATTGTAGGTGGATTCTATATATATATATATATATACACATATGTGAATGCAGGGTAATCCTGAATAATTCTCTTTGAATTCGCGATATGAGCAGTAGGTTGCTTATATCGACCCTTCTAAGCTACCATTTATATATATATTTTATATACATATATCAAGCAGAAAGAAAATATTTGTATATAAATATATAATGGAGAATTGGATGTACCCATTGTGAGAGCACTAGCAAAGATGACAGCAGAGAGGATGAAAACAATAAGGGAAGCTCTTCTTAGTAATGTAATGAGCTTCCTTACAAAAAACTGTCCCCAGAAGCCAGCAAGAATGGACACCGTCATGAGGTACAAAGCTACAAAAAAAAGAGATATTGGGAAGGAATTTGTGAGCTGGACCACAAATAACAAATTTCCATTGACATGATTTTTTATGTAAGATTTTATAACAAAACCAAGAAGATAAAGAAAGCTGACATGTACGAACCATAAGGTATTGGGAATCTCTTGAGCAAATAGAATTCCACCACAGATAAGGATGATGAGAACAGCATCACAAATGTTGCTGTCGCACTTGCAACCTACAGCAAATTAAAGATATTTGTGATATCAGTTAAAAAAAATAAAAGAAAAAAAAGAAATTAATTTCAAATAAAGAAGTTAAAGTTTTATCTGGCATTAGTTCTGGGAAGAAGAAGAAGAAAGTTTAAGCAAAGAAAAAAGGTGCGATGATATGTTCTACTATACAAATTTCTTGCATTCATGCATTGGATAATAATTAAATTATTTATATATATGCAAAATTAGTTCTAGAGAGAAAAAGAACAGCTTTAAACAGAAATATTTACTACAATCATTTTCTTCAAAAAAAAAAAAAAAAAAAAAAAAAATTAAACAGAAAATATTTACTAACAAATCATTTTCTTCAAAAAAAAAAAAAAAAAAAAAAACAGTGTTCAGTGTCTTAAGGCAAATAGAGAAATTTTCCCCGCGCTCATTCTACCATGCAATAATATTAATGAAGGCGAACTTGAAAAGATAAAAGAAAATAAGACAGAAAAGACGTGATTGCTTGTATTAAATAATTTCAATTAGTCAAGATTTGGATTGTAAAGTAATTGAAAAAAAAAAAAAAAAAAAAAAAAAACAGTGTCAGTGTTTAGCAAATGAGAAATTTTCCCCGCCGCACATTCTACATCAATATATTAATGAAGGGAACTTGAAAAGAAGAAATAAGACAGAAAGCGTGATTGCTTGTTTAATAATTTACAATTAGTCAATGATTTGATTGTAAGTAATTGTTAGATGCTTAAGTAATAATTAAAAGAGAAAATAATAATTAAACCTGTGGTATGACTCCAATCTCTAAGAGCAATGGACCCAGAATGAACCCACCACCAGATCCGAGAAGGCCACCAACAGTGCCTCCTAATATTCCACAGAGTGCACAAAAGGCAATATGCATTGGAGTCCATTCAATAGAAGCCTCACAAATTGTTTCTGTGTTGCCTGTGCTAATTCTCTTCTTGTGTTCTTTGCATAATTTGACTGATTCAAATCCAAACACTACCAATGCTATAGGGAACTGCAAGACAGAAAATATTTAGAGAATACAAAAATAGATTTACCAACTAACAACAATAAATTGTTTTATATGTATAAAGAATCTTGCTTAGTATTATATTACCTGCAAAGAAAAGATCAACCAGTACCATGTACCGCAAACTGCCACATCATTCTGCCAGACAAATAAAATAGAATATAAGCACATGGATGCATTCAATCATTTAGAGAGAAACAAAGAAAGAGATTGTACTTGCCTTGGTAATCTGAAGGAAGAGGAAACAAACCCAAACAATTACTAGCACCAAAAGCCTATTCCAATCAAGATTGAAACAAACTGTTTGCTAGAAAAAGTAAAAGAAATTGGATCCAGGTCAAGCACATTGAAGATGGTAATTGAATAAAGTGAACAACTTTAATTACTTACATATTCTGTTCTTTCTTCTTTAGGAACCAATGGCTCATATTCTGTATCAATCAGAACTGCATATCACAGGAAAATAACACAACATACTGTTCAATATCCCAAATAATAATTAGTAATAATTATTTATAAAGGTAAAGACCTTGAATTGAATCTTACGTTCCCCACGAGAGTTAACAATAGTTTCTTGTTGCTTGGCCATTTCTTTCTGCAATTTGAAGATTTAAGAAAGAGTTTATAAGCAAGACAACAAATTATTAGTTTCAATTGACATTAAATTATGAAAATTACCTTTAAGATTGTCTCTTCCTTCCACATTTCAATGCCTTTAAAGAAAGACCTGGAAGAGGTACCTGGACACAAAAGAAATCAGAAAAATAACAAATAGCTTAAACATAAAGAAGAGCAAAGAGCAGAGTGTACCTAAAAAGAGGATGATAATAAGGACAGTTATTAGCCAGTAAGGGAAGACGACACTCAAAGAAACACCAATGGTGATGCCAAGCATAAGCATAGGCTGAAAGAGAAGAGCCAAATCATAATCTATAATGGGCACTTCCTTTGTTGGATGAGGCACTCTTAAATTATACCAAACTGATGATGCTGATGCCCCCATTATCATACCTGCAGCCATCCAAAAAACATAAGAAATCAATTAATCCTAAAAAAAAAAAAACTAACTCGATAAAAGTAAAAATGGGGCAAAGCTAATTTACTAAAAAAGAAAAATTGATTCAGATTCATAACCCATGATTTTTTTAGAATCCCTTTTGACCTTTGCCTTTCTAGCTTTTAAGAACTAATTGATTGATATATAAGAAGTTTTGAACTTTATTCAGTTTTTTTTTAAAAAAAAGAAATAAAAAAAGAAAGTAGTTTAAAACTCTATTGACAAACAGATTGGAAGAACATAAATACTATACATTTGGAAATAGCAGCAGCAGACTTTGTATCAAATCCAACAATCAAAGTAAGCATAGGAACAAAAATGCCACCACCACCAACACCACCCACAGTTCCACATGCAGATCCAAGAAATCCAATCACAGTAGCCAACACTAGTCTCCAACTAAACTCCAATTTCTGCACCAACCAAAATACAAGAAAATAAAAATCCAAACTTTATAAATACACATATAAACAGAAAAAGGTAACATGTCGCCGGTAACCGTAACACATACCGGCCAAACTCTGTCTGTGTTGGACGTCAACGACAAACCGAGAACAGTGGAGTTTGATTGGGTTTTAACATGTGGGTCGGCGAAGACGATTTCAAAGGCAATAGCGAGAGAAAGACCAGTGAGCAAATGGAACAGCAATCTTCTTTGTGCCATAGGCCGCGGCGGATGATACAAGTATAGAGCAGAACCAAGAGAAGAATACAAAGACGCTCAAAGGCTCAAGCTTTATCTCTGAGCTAAGAAAACCAGAGTTATGAGAGAATATACGTTACTTTCTGTGAACAGGAACGAAAAAGATGTTAATGCAATGAACTAATGATTATAAATAATATAAATTAACAATCGAAGGAAAAGTTGTTAAGGAAAGTACAAAGACAGAGAGAGCCACAGAGAGGAGAAACATGAGGGTCCTTGTCGTTTTTATACCAGAGATAGGTCTCAGTCTCACACTCACATGCATTTACAGTGGCCAAACGAGAAATCCTCCCGCGAGAGTATTAATTTCCGTTTCGTTTTGGGTGTCATTTAAAGTAATAATAAAATACTTAACAAACTTATTATCTTACCTTAATTTTAAATTAAGTTATGTATAATTGACTAAATCATTTTTAAGTCAACAATCTAAAATGGTTTCAATAGATAAAATTTGAGTAACGGAATTTAAATATTTTATGAATTTATCAAAAATATATTATTTAATTAAAATAAGTTAAAATCTATGAAATTCATAAGTTTCATTATATAGCCATAACTTTACTATTTTAGAAGAAAAAAGAATCATAATTTATAAGTGAAATTTTCTCGATTCTATTACTTTTTAAAGATTAAAGAATTTAAACCATTTAATTTTATTTTAAAATACTATTCAATTTCATGTATTTTATTTTTCATGTACTCGTAAAGTTAAAATATCAACTCCATTTTTAATTGAAAAATAAAAAATGTGATACTAAAAAAAAAAAAAAAGAAAGTTTATTTTAAAAAGTACTATTCAATTGGTCAATGGTATTTTATTTTTCACGTAGTACGTCGTAAGGATTAAAATATCAACTCCATTTTTAATTGGAAAAATAAAAAACTGTGAATGACTAAAAAGAAAAAAAAAAAGAAATTATGATAAGTGATCACGTAAATGTAAAAAAAAAAAAAAAAAGAAATTTGATAAGTATAGAAATGTACTAATTTAACCCATATAGATAGCAAGAAATAATAGTAAATTTGAAAAAAAAATATTTTGTGAAATTTGTTTTGTTTTGTATGATTCTATTTTCCAAAATATAATTATACATACCTTGGATGTTTCTAACCATTTCAATATATTAATTAGGATAGTTTAACCTTATCAACATAATAATGTAATGGATAGAAAATGGTACTGTTTATTTTTTAATAACATATAAGGTGGTGGAAAATTTATATATTTTTTAAATAAATGAAAAAATATATTATAATTTCTCTTTTTCATATATATGAGAAATAAATATTTAATAATTTTTTATAATTGGTAGGAATTTATAACGAAAAGGAGTTACTTAATTATTTTAGGCACATAGAGTAATTTGGAAACTAGACTTTTTTTTTTTTTAAATAGTTTAATTCTATATAAAAATAGAATGCTATATTTGTATATTTTGGTAAGTGAAATTGAGAAGGACAAGCTGATTAGATAGGGATGTGGGCAATCAAATCATAGGTAGCACAAAGACACAAAGACACGTGTGCTTTGATGTGGAATTATTTTGCTACACGTGGATGTACAAAACCAAAACAATGATCAACCTATGAATTGCAATTTCAATTCAACACGATTCTATAGAAGGAAACAAAATAAATACTATAAAATATTTGAAAACAAAAATATGTTATGAATAAAATAAATGCAAAAAGATTTGCAAATTTTTAGGTAAAAGATAGCATAAATCCCTCAATTAGTCATTTAATTTTTATGTTATATAAGGAAATTTAATATGTTTTTGAAAGGTAAAAAATTTAATCAATTTAAATAATTTAAAAGATTTAAATTCAGAATCCAATTGATTCTAATTTCTGTTCCAAAATATTTAATAAGTTGACTATATTAATTTTTTTGATAGCTTTTTAAGTACTTAATATTTTATTTCCGCTATTTGATATTTTGACAAGAAATTAAAAATAATTTCAATATTTATTTAAGAAAAATCTGAGGTTATGAAATAAAAATGATTATATAAAAATAGTATGACTCCAAGGGATGATATGACATTTTAAACTTGTTCAACCAGTCTTCAAGCAATTTATAAAATTTTAAATACGGTTGTGTTTTAGCCACATAGATCATGCATATAGAATATTCTTTTTTTTTTTTTTTTCCAGCCGGTCGAGAGGCCACGAAGTACAGACCGGACCCCAGGTCATATCAAGACCGATTTGATAGCGACAGTTTTAAATACGAACGAGTATGATGTGTTTAGGAAGGATATACGGGAGACCTCATAGCAATAGTAGACATATTGTTTCCCCTTTTTTATATCTTTTTGAAAAACACCAGAGAACATCGAATAATAGTAATACTTTATTAATATTAATTAGTTATTTTTGAAGATGAGACTAGGAGTCGGTGTTTTGTTAGGGAATGCGTTTCTTAGACTATGCAGATAATCGTGTTTGTTTTGAGAGTAAGGATTGTTGTTGGGTAACAGTTAATCATTTTTTTTTTTTTGTTTTCTTTGCAAAGAAAAAAGAATAGAGTTATTATCAAGAATTAATGCCCGCAATGATCGTTTTTGTCTTACATGTCTTATGCACGCAGCAACCATGATAGCATCTATAGAGTATCAGTCGCGTCCTCAAATCGACGCCAACTAGACCACCAGTGTTTTCATGAAATCGTCTTCTAGAGAAACGCATATAGTTACAGATAAACGCGCATGGTCATTTTCTTTAAATTTAGAAAATATAAAGAGTATCTAAGCCTAGCACGGGAAAAATAACCAACAGGAAGCTTTTAATAAAGAATTTTTGGTATTGAAAAGAACATCGATAAATTTTTATAGAATTAAAGTGCTTTAATTGTGTATACCCTGGTTCAAGCCATACTTATAAATGTCCCTTCGGTTAATCACACTGTGACCTCAGATACGGCCCGGACCGTATATATAACATACCGTATGGCCATACTCCAACCCAACGAAGTTTGGAATTGATCGAAATCTACGTGATAGGAGCAGACCAGGAGTAAGGGGCGTGAAAACTGTAGACCTTTTTTTTTTTTTTTGAAAGGAACATATAATAGAATATTCTTATTAATATTATTATTATTTTTGAAGTGATGGAGTGTGTTTGTTAGGCAAATGGTTTCTTAGACATGCATGTGTTTGTTAAGTAAGGATGTCTGTTGGGTAAAGTTATAATTTTTTTTTTTTTTTTGAAAAAAATAAGTTATTATCAAATTAATCACATGACTGTTTGTCTTTGTCAATGCACAACAAATATAAATTATAATATAGTGCCTCCTCCAATAAGCCAGTTTCATAAATCTCTAAAACCATAAGTACATGTCATTTTCTTTAAATTTAAATATAAATATCTAAGCTAAGCAGAAAATACAATTTTATAAAAATTTTTGTGAAAAGAACATCGATAAATTTTATAGATTAAAGTGTTTAATTTATATGTTTCAGCCATATTATATGTCCTTTTATCCATTGAAACTAGATCCCGATATAACATGTATGCCTATCAACCAAAATTTGAATATAGATCAATTAGTGATAGAGCACCCGCGTGTTGATACATCATATATTTCATTTTCATGGGGATATATAATATTTCTAGCTAGTTGTTTCGCTACACGTGTCAATAGATAGGCCTTTAATTAATATATTACATACTGAATGTTAGCATCAATTTATATTAATTTATCTATTTTTCTTTGTATATTAATAACTGTTAATAAGTTTCTCCAAGAAAATAAATGTTAGTTCGCGTAGAATAACAGAACTCTTACCAATGATTGTTTTGAATATTCGAGCTTCACGAGTAGAGAAAATTTTTTTTAGAAGTCTCCCTTTGTAAGTCTTGACATAGCACGAGCCTGATTAGATTTAATGTAGCGAATATGAAAAAAAAAAAAAAAACTCTTAAAATGATAATTATAAAGACAATATTTTGTTGTGTAAATTATCAGTATCCGAACCCTATTATCAGAAGTTAATTAATCTGACTCGAGTCACAGTTAAAGCTCTTCATTCCTTCTCATAAGCGTGTTTATTTAGGATTGAACCCGGTATCTAGATCTTATTACCAGGACCAGTTGTAAAAACAATATTAAACAACAAACGATGACGTTTTATATTTGATACCTCAAGAAATGATGTTGATAGAGTGAATTATTGAAGTTAGTTTATATTTTTCAAAGAATACTCAATTTCTGTTTTCGAAATCATGTCATACATATACTTTCCAAGAAAGATAAAGAATTTGTACTGACCTAACTTGAAATTATTTCCATAGATTAAAGACGTAATTATAATATCTTAGTTCCAAAATGACTGCATACAAGGAAAATAAGACACCAAAATAGTTTTCATGAAAAGTTTTATGAATTTCGTGTTTCTATATATAATTTTTGAATCAAAATATTATCTAATTAATAATAAATGAATGCGTTTTTATGTAAACACTGCGCAGAATTCCTTTTATTTTTTTTTAATTTTATTGCCATATTAATTGATTAAAACCTAATTCTAATTAAATGCAATTCTTGTATTGTCATTATTATTAAATACTCTTAGATTCTTCTATAAACGCTTAAAGAAACTTCTGGCTTCCATAGACACAATAATTCCTTCAGAGAAAAACAGGATACATTATTAAAGAATCTTATAAATTTGTTCTTGAAAATGGCATGCAATGAACATCGCAAGGATAAGACAACAACTATAAAATAAAAAAAAAAAAATGGCGTTAAGCGAAGAAAGCATAAGAAAAACATAGAAGAGTTTTGGCCTACCAATTATTTTGGATTCTTTAGGAAAATATTTGTCGTTTCTTTTTGTCTGGTCTTCAATGGCGAAAGAGAGACGTCTTTTCGTCGTCTTCTGGTCGAAGAGATAGGCGAGAACAAGATTTCTGGCTGGATCTGCGCCTCCGTGGAGGTGAACCTGTAATTAAATCAATTTTTCTTTTCATATTTTGATTAATTATAGTTAACCTAATTGGAAAAAGAAAAAGAGAAGAGGGGATTAATTTCTATTTAAGTAGGTAGGTGGTCTAAAAAAGGGAGGTTAAATGGCAAAATAGGCACCATACGTGGACAAATTATTACTACAAAGATCTAGGTTTTTCCCTGATTAGAGGACATTGGAGTGTCAGATTGTGTTTTACTTTGAATTCTACTAATGCTTGAATTGCTTTTCTTCTATAATCACTGAATGCAACGATTTATAATTGTCAAAAAAACAAAAAGCACAGAACCTAAAGGAGTTAAACAATCAATGAGGTCATAAATTTAAATCCGATAAAAACAAATCCATTTTACAGCTAAAAATCAACGGACCAATTTTCAGATCACTCGAGAAAATATACTATAATTAAATGGTGCACAAAAAAAAAAAAAAAGTCTACAAAGTCGAATGCTAAAATGCTAAAATCTCTCTCAATGTAAAATTTACAAAATTGAATGTTCAAATCTCTCTCGATCTAAAAGTGTAACGGACTAATTTATAACTATAAATTGAGTGTTAAATATTTTTATGTAAAATTTTCACGGATTAAACTCATGTCACGAGAACGTAAAATCGCCACAGATTAACTCCCATACATCTCAAATCGAATTTATGTATGTCAAATTACCGAACCTACGTATTCGTTAATTATCATAACTATACTTCTCAACATAAAATTGTAACGGATTAACTCCCATACCTTTTAAATCGAAGGCTCAACTCCATTTTCTCTCAAAACCAAATTATGCCTGTAAAATCACCACCGGACTCATATCTCTTAATTTAAATTGTCATGGACCAACTCCCCACCAGACTCATATCTCTTAATTTAAATCGTCATGGACCAACTCCCGCACCTCTCAAATCCATATCTCTTAATGTAAATTCATAAATCCATATCTCTTAATGTAAATCGTCATGGACCAACTTCCGTACCTCTCAAATCAAATTATGCGTGTAAAACTATTGAATCTATACCTAAATTATTGAATCTATACCTCTCAAATGATAAGAATAAAACCGGCGGACCAATTATCGTGACAGAATTGAATTGTTAAACCAACCTGATTAAAATATAACTGCCAAAATTGTCAAACCGACCTAATTAAATCAAAGAAAGAACGCACCTAAACCAATTAAAATTCCTCTTTTTCAGTTAAAAAGGATACACAAGAACGAATTAAAATTGAGTTTTAAGATGAAATTTATCAAATTTTGTATATTCCCCGCAACCTAGAGCCATAAGATATGGATGAATTTCATCTTCTAATACAACCATGAAAGAAATATGAACTCTCCAATCTTCATTAAAGACGACATTATTACAATTCAGCGACCATCCCACTGGGAGTCGGACGATATCACAGCCCTTCTCACTCTGACAGTCGTAACACCATACTCCTATATATATATGATACTCAAAACCAAATGGTTCAGCCTCAAAATTAATTGCAGGAATTGAAATTGACAGAGGCCAGACCATATGGGTTCTGCAAGAATTAATCCAGATATAATTGCTGAAAATGATTTGAATTGAATGAAGGGTGGCAGACATCAAAATGTATCGAATATTAATGGGCAATTACTGAGCGTTAAATAGTTCAACGTCCGCTTGTTAAACCTCACATCACAACCATTAAATTACAATACAAACTCACAGAGATGATAACCTTCCAATCTTATCCATATAAGATTAGGCACATAAGATCCAGAAGGGCAAACAAGCCCACAAAAGCTTTGTTTATAGTTACTCAAAACAAAAAAAAAGCACAACAAGAAGGCCCAAAAAGCTACTAATGAACATGGTGGTGTAAAAGTGAAAAAGTAAAAGAAGTAGGAAGTACACCGTGAATTCGGTGGACGTTATCACTTATTGTCTGAACGGTGGACGACCTTTAGATGAGTAACACCTTCATCATCTAACCGTCCAACATCGTTGAAAGTTTGAGCACTAATCTGATCAGACTCTTTCAGGGTGGATGCCACGGTTCCTGCTGGTGTTTCTTCAAGAACCACCACCTCTTCCTTTCTTCCTGTGCCTCCATGCTCACGTGCAGCACACGTTTCTCCCACGACGTCCCGTGGCATTGTAAGCTTCCCTTTAATGGAGTCTTTGATGCTCCCTAATCCTGCCTTCTCAAAAATATTGTCCCTTGCTGCACTTCCCCTAACCAAAAATCCAAAAGAACAACCATCAGAAATGATTGAAAATCGAAATCAAGTACATAAAACCAAATTCTTACCTTTCAGCTTCAATGTCTTTTTGCTCTGCCTCATCTTTTTCCATTTTCAACTCCTCCATCTTCCGCCTAGTTTCCTCCTCTGCTTCGCCAAGTTTCTCCTGAACATTCAAGTACAAGAACATGCATTTCCGAATATAAGATTCCATTGCAATTACATATACAAGGCAAAGGCAAACACTAATGTATCTAGTGGTTAAAATTAGAGCAAAATAAAAGATTAAAATGCACACAAGAGGCATTGAACACGGAAGTCAAACCTTAGCTGCTTCTTTAGTTTCTGATGTTTTTTCTTTTGCTTCATCTTTCTTACCGAAGAGGTCCATAGCTTTCCTTGCTGCTCCTTTAGCTGATTCAGCGAGTTCACCAAGCTTACTAGCTGCACCTTCTTTCCCTTCTTTAGCTTTCTCAGCAGTGTAATCCTTTGTTTCAATTGCTTTTTCCTTGGTCTTCTCTGCAGCTTCTTTAGTTTTATCAGCAGTGTAATCCTTTGTTTCAATTGCTTTTTCCTTGGTCTTCTCTGCAGCTTCTTTAGTTTTATCAGCAGTGTAATCCTTTGTTTCAATTGCTTTTTCCTTGGTCTTCTCTGCAGCTTCTTTAGTTTTATCAGCAGTGTAATCCTTTGTTTCAATTGCTTTTTCCTTGGTCTTCTCTGCAGCTTCTTTAGTTTTATCAGCAGTGTAATCCTTTGTTTCAATTGCTTTTTCCTTGGTCTTTTTTATCAGCTGTATAATCTTTCGTTTCCTTCGCCTTCTCTGCAGCTCTATCGTTGTACTCTCCAGCCTTTCCCTTCGCCATTTCTGTACTCTCTTTCGCCTTCTCAGCTGCATAATCTTTGTACTCACCTAACTTTCCCGTAGTCGAGTCCTTCGTTTCTTTGGCCTTTTCTTTTGCCTGGTCCGCCTTCTCTTTTGCAGATTCTTTTGTTTCGTCCCATTTTCCTGCAGCTGCGTCTGCCGTCTCCGCCGCCTTCTCTGCAGTGTAATCTTTAGTCTCTCCTGCTTTCTCAGCTGCTTTATAATTGGCTTCCTTCGCCTTCTCAGCAGCCTCTTGGCTTTTACCTACAACAGCTTCTCTGGCATGCTCATAGGTATCAGCAACTTTCTTTAGCACAGACCCAATAACGCCTGGTCTTTCTTCTTGTTGCAGGTCTGTCTCCATTTTTGCCCTTTCTTCATATTCTTTTTCTCTATTAGCATCTTTTAGATCACGCGCAGCTTGCCACGCTTCTGCCTCCGCTTTGTCCACCTTCTCTTGCCTGGACGCCATTAATTAGCTTCTTTCTTGAAACAGAGATTGCAGATTTACTTGAAAGACAAACAGAAAACAAATATTAAGGCTTGATTATATGATTCACTGGTTTGGAATTAGAAGAAGAATCTTATACATATATATCGATTATATTTTGAATATTCGGAAAGCGAAACGTGGATACTAAGGTCATTGAACCAGTGCCACGTGGTGGAGATTGTAATAAAAATGTGACACGATATGGTTTGCATGTTTAGGAGTGGGTGACATAAGGCACTCATGCATGCATAAGAATGACCTGTTCTTGAAGAAACGGAGTTTTGTTGTGGCGTGGATTATATTCTTGTGGTTGCATTACACGTGTCGTGCCACGTGGGAATGTAGCCTTACTCCGGTCGGCGGAAAAAGTGGTCAAAAGTTTACTGAATAGTACAGAAGCAAAGTATAGGTTTTGAATATTTTGATTGATGTGATTAAAATACAAACGTATCAGTGTTCACAGAAGCTGGGAAAAAAAAAAAAAAAAAAAAAATATTTTGATTGGAATGTGATTTAAAAATACAAAACGCGGTATCCAGTGTTCACAGAGGCTTGGGAAAAAAAAAAACAAAAAAATCCACTTCATACATTTGGGCCAATTTTATTAATAAGTAAACATGACTTTTGTTAATGACAATAGTCGACCGTGCACCTCTGTTTAATCACCTTTGGCCAACCCAGTGTCCTTAAATTTTAATAAATTTTAAATAATAGTTACTTTATTTTTTCCATATTTAAATAGAAATAATAGTTTAGATAAAAATTTATTTAATTTACGGAAAAAAAAAAAAAAAAAAATCCACTTCATAACTTTGCAATTTTATTATAGTAACACCTGACTTTTGTTAATGACATATCACCTGACCTCTGTTAATAACCTTTGCCAACCAGTGTCCTTAAATTTATAAATTTTAATAATATTATTTATTTTTCCATATTAATAGAAATAATTTTTAAAATTTTTAATTTACATAAAATTTTAATTTGATGTGTAGTTAGTAAAATTTTTTGAACAATTTTTATATTTATTAATTATATATTAAGTATTTAATTGAACTGATTTTACAAATTAGAGTGTTTAATATAAAAATATTTAAGTTAAAAAATATTTATTAAGTGTCTAATTGAACTAATTTTATAAATTAAAGTGTTTAATATAGAAATAATATTTAAGTTAAACTGTTTATTTAATAAGTTAAAATAAAAATTAAGGATATAACATGATTAAAGTAATAATGATAATAAAATTTAAAAAGGGATGTAATTGCTTACAAAATATAAGGTATATAAATCGATTCAATCTTTTTGAAAATCACCTCGACTTCAAAAATACAATTTTATCTCATAAATCAGATTAACTGCTTGAATAGACCTAAGTCATCATTACATGTTAATTCATGGATTCTGATCTTGGATGATGAAGACAAAAAGACTATAGAAGGCATGAATGCAATCGATCAACTAAGTTTATTTGTTATAGTTGGCTCATCCTATTCTCACCTCTTTTTAGGTTATAAAATAAATATCAACTCATTTTACTTCTTGTGCTTAACAAACAATAAAACCATAAACTTTTGGAATTGTTCTAAAATCTTTCATTCACATATGTATATGCATTGAGCCAAAATAAGTTTTTTACCCTTAATTTTTCGAGAATCGAACTTGTATCTCACGTTGCAGAAGAGAATCGAACTTGTATCTCACGTTGCAGAATTTTCAAGGATTGAATTTGTATCTCACGTTCAATCGTTTTTTGAGAATCGAACTTATATCTTACATTATAGGATTTACAGAAATTGAAATAGTTTACCACTTCAATCAAGATTGTCTACACAATATGGTGATAATTTACAGGTGTACATACTTATAATTTCTTTTTCTGAAAATTAATTAGCAAAATTCATAAATAAATAAGAGAATTATCAACATTTGCAAAAAGGACTATACATATATAAGAGAATCGCAGTAGTTCCATTCCATGTCCTTGTTAATTACACACACGTATTCCTGAAGTACTTCCCTAAACTAAATTACCTATTAAACAAGATATGCTCTTCAATCAACTGGTAATGGCTACTTGATCATTATGGATCCTAACATTTAATCTTCGAAGCCAAATAGAGTGAAGAATCATATGAAAAACATCGTACCGCTTAGGCGGAGAATTTACCTCAAAATGCCTCCTTATTTGTTGTACTCTTCTTTGCATTCTAATGTATTGTCTTGGAGATATGCTTGTCAAGATTCTCTTCAGGTTGGGGATTTTGCTCACCGGAACCTCAACGGAGAATGACTTCCAATTCAGAACATCGCTGAAAGGCGGTACATAGTGGTCTGAAATTAGCACTGGCACACAACCCGTGTAGAATGCCTCAACGACTCTAGGACTTGCAACTTCGTAACCACTAGGACAGAGGCAGAACTTGCTTTTTCTCATCATTTCGTAGTATGATACGCCTTTTGGAAGGTACCTATGCACTTTTATATCATCATCCTTGTTTTCCCAATGTGCAAGAAGGATTGGCCTAATAGGGCCATGAAGCCCTCCGGCATAGAAGGCCAAAATTGACCGTTTTGATGGAGATGGTCCGCCGATCAAGCCCTTTGTTGAACCGGTTTGGAGATTGATTTCTGGGAAGGATACATCCTTGATAGGATTGAATCTCTCTGATGTGTTTGCATTGCATAGTGCACGAATTGAGTTTTTTCCAAGGTAAGGTACAGAAAATGAAGTTTCTGGCCCCTGTGAAAATACACTTAAATTAGAACATTATTTTTTCGAATATTCCAATTTGATACTATGCCATTAATGCACAAAATTAGATAATTAAGTAATTCTTCAGTATACAAAACTGTCCAATCCTGCCAAGCTTAAGAAACTATATACTAAATAAATTGGGCGTATTGTTCATATCTACATAAATAGAAAAATACCAGCAAATGTAATTGCAATGGAAATTAAGAGGACTTACCCAATCATGGCATGCCAGCATGAAATGGTCCGCGCCGAGGCTTCGATTCCAGAAAGGGTATTTTCCAGCAATGAGACTGACATAGTCTCCCACAGTCCTTCTTATAGGACCAAAATCATGCGAGTCACGCACATAGACAAATCGAACCATCATTGTCACACTAAAGGGAAGGAAATAGACATGTGCCTTATCAGGATCTTTGGTTCGGAACTGGTCATCTATCTCCATCCTGTGAATAAAATTTCCTTCCATAGAATATATGCTCTTACAAGGACCATTATGAAACACTGGTGGTTCACCTTCTTCATAAACAAAAACCCTGAACTGTTTTTCCATTTCCAAGTAACTCCTGTAATGGCAAAAAGACAAGTTTTTGTTCAAGGATAAATCAAAATGGCAATGTACATATATAGCAATATATATACCCGGAACAATTGTATAGGAGTTGAGCAATACCTGTGAAAGACTTTAGAGTTCCAGTACATAGGGCCTGTAGGAACATACTCAGGGTCCTCTAGTGTTTGATTTCCATTTTTAGCATCTTTTATAGCAGAACGAGCATTTTGGAGACCAGCTTCAAGCCTTTCTAAACTTGAATAGTACTCTTTTTGATGTTTGCTTTTGATGGAAAGATCAATTGAAGAAGAAGCATTCTTCAAGCTAGCAAATATGGTTGCATTTTCTTTCTGGAAATATTAATTAATTTACAGTAAATTAAACTCAAAACAAATGAATTAAAAGAAAGAAGTAACTCCATTTGAATTAATATCAGTAAAAATCATAATTAATTAATTAAAACATTAAGTAGCAGTTTACTAAAAACACTAATTAATTTAAGGGAGAATGTTTGCTCAGCTTGTCCCACCGCTGCGCCTACAAAACCTTAGGCGCAAGTTTAATGCAATTTTTTTTATTTTTTCTAGGAAACGAAAAAAAAAGAAATGGTTAAAAAGAAGTACAGAACACTCTGTTTCTTAGTATTTGATATTTTCAAGGCAAAAGTTACTGTGACTTCATTTTGACTCATCTTCCCTTGTTTCTGTTTCTGAGGCACAATCTGTCTTCTGTTTTCTTTTCTTTAACAAACCACAAACCAGACCAAGACAAGAAATAGAATGCCAAAAATTTTGAAAAACAAGGAATTAATCCAATTCTAATTAAGAAAGAAACCAGAAAAATTGGAGAGGGGAAATAATAATAAAGAATAATTAACCAAACATTCTTACAATTATTATATATATATAAAAGAATAATGCTTAAAGAAAAATAAATGCTTACAGGTTTTTCAATATCTTTAACCTCAACATCAACTGAAGAAGAAGAGATATTAATGGCAGAATTGTTACCGGTATCCACCGCCGGAACCACCGCCATTTTTGCATGTGAAGATGGCAGAGAATAAGTAAGGTTGATATTGGAACCGGAACCACTATAAGAACTCAAAAGCCAAGAATCCCAACTGAAAAACTTAGGACCCAGAAGAGCAAGAAAACCAAAACCCACTATCAATGGCACCATAAACAACAAAGGGTTAATTGATGTTGATGAAAACCTCCATGCATGACCTTTCTCCATTGTTTCACTCTGATCCCTAGCTATTGCTTTAGAGTTAAATCTGCTTGCAGCTGTTACTATACCAACATAGAACTTTCTCTGTCTCTAACAATGAAATAAAAAAGATCAATAATAATAATATATTATCATTATTATTGTCGTAAACAGCAGAGAAAGTTGAACAATTGGTGAGCTTTGGTTGCAGTCTCATGCCAAGCGTCGTCCCCTCTTTATCGTCCCCTCCAGACTGGAGCTTTCTCATGCAAATATTTTCTTTTCGATTTTACCCTTCTTTGGTCACCGATCAACTCTCATCAATGTTTTCTGATTCTCTTCAGTGCCATTGTCCCGAACAAGCGTTATCCGAAAGCGCTGTTGAGACTTCCACGTGGAATTTTGTCAAGATGAACGGTTCAGAAAGCGAGTGCAATGTTTATTGAGAGTGGTGAATCTGTGCTTGCCTGTTTTGACAGGAGTTTATAGTGTCCTAAGAGTAAAATTTGTAGAAAGAATGACTTTATTACCCCGGATTTGGTCAAATATAGAAGGGAAAGGAAAGGATGAATGGCAGTGATTTTGTATTTTTGGCAGGGTTAATAATTTAGTCCTGACAAGGCAAGTATGTGATGTTTAAACTTTAAATGGTAAAGATTATCATTTTGATGTGTTTTTGGAAATTACAAGTTCGAGTTGCATACTCCAGTGTTCCATGATATCCGTGAGATTTGAAATTTCAATGTTTATTAAAAAAATTATTAAATTTATTTAAATTGACTATTAATTTTCAAAGAATTATTAAAGAAGAACACATCAAAAATGATAAAAATGATAATATATTAAAGAATTATTAAAGAATTAACTTCATGAAAGAATTATTAAAGCATTATTAAAAATGATAAAATGATAATATATTAAAGCATTGACTTTATTAAAAATTTCAATGTGTTATTAAAAAAATTATTAATTTATTTAAATTGACTATCTATTTTCAAAGAATTAATTAAAGAAGAACACATCAAAAATGATGAAAATGATAGATATATTGAAGATTATTAAAGATTAACTTCAATGAAAGCCACTTCATCCATCAAAGCATTATTAAAAAAGTGATAGAAATTGATAATATATTAAAGCATTGACTTTAATTTAAAGAATTTTAAAGCATTATTAAAAATGATAAAATATTTTTAAATAATAATTAACAGAAAAATAATGGTAAATCAAAGAATGTATTGGTCCGTATAAAGAGTAGATATGAAATATAAATATTTTTATTCCGTTTAAACATCGGGATAGACGTAGGACATATTTTTAAAAAAAATTATTTTCTCTTCAAATGATTGCAGTATTATGTAATAAAAATAATATGAAATTTAAAAAAAAGAACATATCAAAAAATGAATAAAAATGATAACTATAATTGAAAGAATTATTAAAGGAATTTAACTTTATGAAAGAATTATGTAAAGCATTATTAAAAATGATAAAAATGATAATTATTACGCATTGACTTACTTAAATTTATTAAAGCATTATTAAAAATGATAAAATATTTAATTAAATAATATTAAAAGAAAATAATTAAATCGAAGAATTATTGGTCGTATAAAGAGTAAATATGAAAATAAAATATTTATTATTCCTTAAAATCATAGACGTGACAAATATTTTAAAACAAATTATTTTCTCAAATGTGGCATTCTCCCAGAGAGAGTGGCAGAGCTAGAAATAAAAATTGGATAAAAAAAATGTTCAAATATATGAAGGCAAAAAAAAAAAAATTTCATTGTTGTAATAAGAAAATTTGAAAAAATTTTACTATTTTACAGCATAAGTTATAAAAAAAAATTTTCATAGCCCCCTCCCTTTACCTTCTAATTCCACTGGTTTGATTCTAATTTTAAACCGAAATCAAAACTAAATCGAGTAATAGTAATTCGGTTTGGAAGTGAGTCTTTTTTTCTTAAAATAGAAATTGAAAATATTTAATGCAATGAGAAAGGCACCTCTGCTCATTTAATTCAACAATTTGTTTTTGTCTTTCTTTTTTTCTCACCATTACTACACGGAACTGAAGCCTAACCGCCAGCTTTCAATGTTGACAAATCTGGTAATTTCGTACACGTCCTAAATTTAGGAACAAATGGAAGTTGATGATCCGTCACTTACTTCACTTCACGTGCAACGAATCAATTCTCAACTTCTTTTAGCGGTTACCCTTTAAATTAAACGAATAATACTATAAATGTGACATCCTACTCCGAGTCGAGTCTTAGCATAGAGTTGAGTAGTCGAGTTGAGTCGAGTTGAACCAAATCCGGTTGGGGTAGAATGGTTGAGTCGGTTGAACAATCGGTTGGGGTAGACAATGAGATTCTTAAGTAGGACTTTGAGTGAGAGAAAAAGATTAAAGCATATAGGTGAGGAGTGATTTGCATTAAAAGATTGAGCTTGGGTATTAAGTTGTAGCCTGTTAACAATTGAGGTACCATTTAAAACTTCTACACACAAATCCTTTGATTTTGATGGCCTACCCATAATACCCATTTCACTTTTCCATTTTCATGTTTATCTTCATCTTCTTCCTTTCCTCTTCCCTTCCTTTCCTCTTCCACCTTCCTTTCAATTTTAATGGTAGTTAAGCCTTAACTTCAATTTTTCTTCTATCCAAGTAAGTAAACCTTCTTAAGTTCATAATTGAAACATTTGGTGCTATTGTTTTAGAATTCATAAGAATTCTTATTTATAGGTGAAGGGAGTTCTAAGAGTGTAGAAACAAGAAGCTAAAGAAGAGCTCAAGCTTTTTGGAGCAAAGGTTTGATATCTCTTTTTCTTTACCATTTTCTTTGTATGAGATTTGTGTGGTGTGTTGCTATGAGACCATATTGCTTTATGTGAGTGGGAGGACTGGTAATGGTGAGAAAACAGGAAACAGGGAATATTGAAATAAAATGAAGTAAATAGTGAGTTTATGTTGAAACAGGTTTTTGCTGGAAATTTTACCAGTAACTTCATCTTGATTTTGACCCCATTTAATGATGGAATTAGGAAGTGTCATACAAGAGTTATTTGTTCTTCATTGTGTTAGCTTTACGTGGGTTTTTGAATCATCCAAATCGGAGTTGTATATTGAGAGATATAATCAAAAGAGTACAGACTGTGCAGGCTGGAAGACGCGACACGCGCGCGCGAATTGCATGACAAGTTCGCGATGCACTTCTCGCGCTCGCGAATTTGAACTACGCGCTGGCGACTTCCACCTGAAACTCTCTGTCTCTCATTTGACACATCTCGTGCTCGCGACTTTCAAGTGCACGCTCGCGACTTGTGCTCGCAACCTCTCTGACTCTCATTTGGCATTTCTCGCTTACTGTCTCTCATTTGGCACTTCTCGCTGCTCGCGCTTCACAGTACGCGCTCGCGACTGTGCCCGATAAACTCACTGTCTCTATCTGGTGCATTACGGCGCTCGCGGACTTTGCAAGGGCGCGCTCCGCGATTATGTTTCATGCACTTTGGCTTCTTTTTTCAATGCAATTGTATTTCTCTTGCTTCACTTATCATGCCTCCCAATCATTTTAACATTCAATACTAACAATTTTGAACATGTATCAAAACAACATTCAAACATGCAAATGATTGTGGAAATCAAATATACATTATGAATTATAAGTATGAACTATTAATGTATGTTGTGTTATATTATTGACATACCAACATTTTGGCTCCATTGAGGTTTAAAGGTAGAAACCATGTAGAATAAAGTGCTATGTCGCGACATAGGATAGCAGATCTGCGTCCCATTACAGGCGCCCCATACAGTTTGGTACTCCGGCTACAGGCCGTTGAGTGGATATGATTATATATCGGCCATAGCAGCCAAGCATACATTATTCATCCAGTTTCATACAGTTTTTCTTATCACTTCGGTTTCACTATAACCTTATGGAGCCATACAGATATCTTGACATAACACTTCATAAATTATACAGTATTACAAACAGTACAAAAGATAATCAAGGTAATGAAGGTATCATAACATGTGTGCTTATATGTGCCATATGTGTTTACATACTTATTTCTATCTATGTATGTGCTTGATTGTTTCTTCATTTGTTGAGATATCCACTGAGCTTTATTTGCTCAGCGAGTTACCTGTTTAACTCGCAGGTAACTCGCAGGTTTTGAGATTTGACAGTAGAGAGTCAGCTTACAACTGCTGCAGTTCATCTGTAGAAGTCTCAGTCTTCAGGGTAGCTACTCATACGGATGTGTATTTTTTGTTTATCCTTTTTATGGCATGTACAGGGCACACAGTTGGGCCCATTTCATTTTGTAAACTAGTATCATGTTTTGTAAATATAAAGTACATTATTTTGTATATTAACAGTATCAGAATGCTATTATTTTCAAATCCATTTTATGATTTCAGGCTGTCAGATCATACAGTCACCAGTTTTAGCGTCTCGCGTCCGTTCATCGGGTTTACGGGGTTGGACATTAGGGTTAACGGGTGGACCGGGAAGGGATGTTACAAATTTTGGTATCAGAGCCTAGTTTAGTTCCCCGGGCTTGAATGCATATGTCATTATAGTATACATGCCATGATTACCCTGATGAACTAAGCAGTTGTTATTCTTTTAGGAGGATGTCACAGGAAGGTGAGAGTGAGTTACACGCCTCCAGGGCAGTGGAGGGTGAGGCTCCAGTGGCACCAAGTTAGGAGGTACTATTAAAAAAACTTGCAGATACTTTTCGACAGATTGCAGGGGTGGTACGTCAGGCACCAGTGGTAATAGACAGAGAAAGAAAGCCACTACTAGAAAAGATTAGAAAATATGGTGCGAAAGAATTCAGAGCTAGCAAGGATGACAGTTCAGTGATAATTGTTAAGAGTCCTGGTGTAGTTACAGTGTAAACCAGAGGATAGTTTGATTTGTTACACCAGAGGACAAGTTGGTTTGTGCCACATCATTGCTCATAGATGAGGCATATACCTGGTGGACTACTGTTCAGCAGTGGGTATCAGCAGAGCAGCATACATGGCAATTTTTCTTGGATGAATTCAAGAAGAAGTTCATCACAGAGGCTTATCTAGATGCAAGAAGGAAAGAATTCTTATACCTGAGGCATAACAGAATGTCAGTTGCCGAATATGAGCGAGAGTTTACCAGGCTCAGCAGGTATGGTAAGGGGATAGTGGCTACAGAAGCCGAGAGATGTAAAAAGTTTCAAGAAGGCTTGAATGATGCCCCCTGAATGGGTTGAGATCTCCTAGCTATGTCGGTACGGCTTTGAGGTAGCTTAACCAGATCAGAGAGTTTCCTCAGCTTGGATAAGGCATAGAGATAGAGCGCATTCGCCATCAGGTCTGGTGACGCTAGATTCGGCTAGCGGTCTCAGCAGGTGAGAGACCAAATGCGTCAGCTGAATGGTCTGCTACTCTAGCTTAGCCTGATCAGCTCCTGCAATATACGCAGAGATTCAGAAGGCTGCGTAATAGTTGCAACTCTCATGTGCTAATGACCTTGCGGCTTTAAGACGCTACCGGAACGGCATAAGCTCACACTGTGGGGTGCTGAACATGCTCAAGCGTCATGAGTCATGTGTTTGAGCCTTAAGTTCTGAATCTGACCTTG